CTCCGGGCGATGTTGCCATAACCTTTCACCCCCCTAGAGCACGAGTGGGCATGCAGGTACAGTGCGCGGCAGCTGCGCTTCCTGAGCGCCGCGATGCCGAGCGCTTTCACGTAAACACCTCTCATTCGGTTAAAGGCGTTCCATATTGTAATAAAAAAAAATATATCCTTGCTGTTATTAATATTATTGAGGCTGTTCCGTTAGAACTTGACCATAGTCCCCACTGCACAGGATACACGGAGTTATGGGTGCGGCTCGGGAAATGCGCGTTTGCTAACAAGTGGCATTTCTTGTGCGTCAATTGCCGCATTCGTAATTAAAAAGGGGAAAAAGGGAAGAGGAAGAAAATTGATCATTTGGTGAGACAATGTGAGCAGTTGAAAGGTACTCCATGATAGATGCTGAGAATTACACTGCATAGATTACTATAAAATTAATTAAGGTTACCCAGATCTCCATTTGGGTTCCCGTTATGGAGATCATGTGTAAGGAAAATAAAATTATTTCAGTTTTGCACAGAATCCTGGGGACACGGGTCAGTTGTTGCCATCGTGGTTTCTGTATGGGTGACTTTAAGAGAATATTAACAGGAGTGCTGCATTTTTGTACAGATTCAATCGTCCTCCTCCAGTGAGTGTTTGCACAGCAGCTTAATGGGGCAGTCTGCATGGTTTCTGACATGAGACCATTCCAAAGGGTTAAGCTGGTTTTCAGCAAAACCACCTTATTCAGCTGGACATTTAACCTGCCGTTACAGAATCATATCTTTGGCGTTGAAGAGAAATTGTAAAGGGTAGAGGAGGGAATTTATTTTACTGCCTTTATTTGGGGTGGGAGGCGGCAGGTGTTGCTCAATGCTTACACGTTTTTGGTTGAAGGTGTTAACGGCCACTTTGAACATTTGTCTTGATCAGCGAGAGAGTGTTTGAGAGACTCGCTGGAGCATCATGTTGATATTGTAATTTGGGAGCGAGCATTGGTTTGCCCGAGAAGTCTCCAGCATAGAATAATATTTCCTGGCAGTCCGTTGGAACGGACGTTTTAAGCGTACCTACACCCACCCTATAATGGTACTCGCTCACAGCGAGTCGTTTCCCTGGTCGCCAACGTTATATCGTTGCTTCGGACGCGAAATCGTGCGAGGCGGGCCGTGTCGTAAAATATCCCTGCGGAGAAAGAGCCCGGCAACTACAAGCTCCCGACAAAACGAGCCTGCCGCTGCCTCCCAATTCCCACCTCGCAGGAGCCGTTGGCCTACTGCAGGATAATGATTGACTCGATATCGTTGCGGGGAGAAACATCCCGAGGAGACGGCGCGCATAGCGCCACGCCATCGCCTGCGCCTTCGTCTCGCGTCCGGAGGCGTCTCTTGGTCCGCTGTGTGTGCTCGTCCGCGTGGCGCAGCAGTGGTTGGAGGTCTCGCATTGCGTTAAAATGTCGCCGCTCGTTTAGCCGGGGTTGCGCGAGCCCCCGGTCCGTGCGGCGTCGTACGATTTTTCGAGCGGCCTTTTCAACACCACGTTTTGTCGGGTATAAAACTGGTACGTGCGCTTGGGGAGGCTGGCGGGGAGGGGGGCAAAAAAAAATCTTAATAGCACAAATAATGAAATAAGAGGCTCGTAGAAAAGTCTTCTGCACGATATAGTGTGGTCGGTGTTTAATGTTGCATGAGAAAATTGCTCTGCCTCCTTTGTGAGTCATAGTGACTTGTTTTTTTTGCGCGCACCTTCCTTTCAAATGAGCGTTTTTTTTTAAATTTCACGTAATCTTTTGACTTCTTCCAAAGGGAAGAAACCTTATCTTTCAGACAGCCTTGGCATGCTTATGTGCAGCTCGGGGACCATGACGCATGCGTCCGATGGAATGCACGTCTATGCCTGACTCAGTGTTGTTGCACGCTCCTTAATTTCTCACTGTCGAAGGTGGTGGCATCCTGCGAACATGATAACTGACCGAAGCACACAAAAACGGTGGTGGTGGTGAGGATTAACGAAGCGGGGAGATGAGGGAGCCTGGCGCCCACCTCTCACCGGGGTGCGTGCATGGCAGCTGCAGAATAGAGGCTCAGGGGAACGGATTAAATAACTTTCACCATTTCGGGTTAGATGCAGAAAAGAGAAAAATTGTTAAACTGTGCAAGATTTCTAAATTAAATTGATCCTGTGAGAACAGCGCACCCTAATTATAAAATGCAGGCTGACGTTCACACCAGCTTCAGTGAGAGCTTAGATTCCTGCACTGGAAATGAAAGTGACTTTCATGTCTAGAAATCTGGCTGAGGCAGTGGGGCGGGGGAGGGAGTTGCATTGCGATGGATTTGTCTGACCTGTCGCGGCGCGGCATAATGCTGCTGGCCAGTGGGGGGTGCCGGCAGGGTGTGAGAGTTTCTTCCTGTCCATGGTAATAGACAGCAGATGGGAGGACAGATGGACATTGAAGAGGGTGGGGGGTGGAAGTTAGAAGCGGAGGAGGTGGACAATGGGCATCTCACAAACCCCGGAATAGCGATTGATTGCGCGACACCGCTGGCCGACGGCAGGGAGATGTGAGACCTCCTTGCCATCTCACTCCGGTTTTCTTGCCGCACGGAGAAGCGTTGGGATTGCGCCAGCCCGCCTCGTCCAGTGGCCCCCACCAGAAGAACCGAGGTCCAGGACAGCTCGCTCGAACCGTGCCGCGCCATTAGCGCTGCGTGCGCATGCATGACGTGAGTAGAAGGGCAAACTCTCGGCCTGACGTCGTCATCGCTTTTGTGTGGAAGAATGAGAAGCAAGAAAGGGACGTCAACAAGGCAAAGTTGCGTTGCCAGTGGGGGTCGTGAGTTGTGGGTGGGGAGACACAGCCTAGAGAGCGTCATACAATATAAACAAAAAAAGGCATCTCTGTCAAGTGACGTGCACTGCCCTGCCATTTGCACGGCACCATGGTTTTGGGAAACATGTTAGGAATGTGTTGTGCCCCACGGCTTTGGGCTAAACCGTAAACCGTTAACCCTCTCGCGCCGCGCTGCCCTTAAACAGCATCACTGAATATCTCACCGACTGCCTTCGCGGTGCCGGTTAACGAGTCGTCACGGGCCGCTTCTCGGATCTGCTCTTGAGGTCTGGTGCCGTGACTTTGCTCGTATTGTGTGCTTGAATGGTTCGTTCAGCTCACTGATGTGACGTTTTAAAAGCCCCCGAACAGATCGTCTAGCATGCCTTGTGCAGTTACCCAAGCGCCGGGCTGAGTAAATGTTTGATCTGTCGGCCTGTTATAGGAGACGCATTCCATTTTTGTCACGGGTTTTTTTTCCTTCTTCTGTAATTTCATTGTACTCCAGGCTTTCTGTTCCACGATTTTTGTTCCCTTGCAAATGTCAGGAGTGTAATGTTATGGGTCTTTTGTGCACACTGTTAGTGTGGCAGTGTTGTTATCCACAGAGAAACCCGTGTTGAACATTTTTAAGCATTTATTTTAATCTTGTGAACTCTGTTTAAATTCTGACTGTGCTCTCTAAATGTGCACATGCAAATACGACCTTATTCTGACAGCCTTATATTGGCCATCAGTTAGTTGCAACGAAACAGCTGTACACATTGTACAGCATCTGTTTGTGTCCTATGTATTATGGTACAGGAATTGTAAGTGGAGTGAATCCAATACGGTAGCACTCACCAGATAGGCAGATTGTCTGGGAGCTGACTATGAGCCACAGAGGGGCCAGTGTGACAATTTGTGTCAAAGGAGCTAATGGGTGGGACTTACGATGAGGGTGAGCTTGGGAGCAACTATGTAATAATTATATTTTTGTAATTTCCATTGTCACCGAAACGCGCACCTAAAATGTGGATGCATTTAGATCATGAAACATAATATCCTCTGCTATATGTCAACTCCGCAGGGCCTCGTACCTCCATCTGTGCAACAAATCCCACATCCACCACTTCCTCACTCCAGCTGCTGCTGAGATGCTCATCCATTCATTAATTCATATCCCATTTAGACTACCATGATTCTCAATTCTTTGGCTTCTTGAAATCCCTCACCTCCAAATTCCATATTTGTCCCAATGCCGCTGCCTGCCTACTCAAATGAAATGAATAATGTATTTATTACCCATGAAACCTTCTAGAGACAATGTATTGAGTTAATGTCATCAGGATTGCAGGATGATTTTCCGTGCACACTTAGAGGCCGTTTGAACTTCAGTATACAACCTTGATATTGGTCATCTATGTTGGGACTGGCAGTCGGTGTGAGGTCTAAGGTGAACATTTCAAAGTCAAAGCTCAAAATGGTTTGATATTAAATGTTGGGGGGTGGGGGAGATAGGATATTTGAGCACGATGATAGCTGTCAGCAATAGTTTACTTTTTACTGTAGCATTAAAATGAAAAAAAGTATTTCACACTTTAGTCATTGGTCCTACCTGATAGCCTTTTCTGGACAAATGCTTGGTGACCTCTTACATTAAAGCCGTTTGACCTAGAGACGTGATACTTAGTAAAACATTTACATATCTAGCACTAAAATCCGTCATAAAACGTGGAAGAGGTCAGATCAAAACATTTTCCTGCAGTGATTGAATTGACATGGACTGACCCTATACGAATATCAATTGTATAACTTTTGCAGAGCATAATGTAGTAAAAGCATTGAAAATGTGTGGCAATACCATTGACCGTAGTAACCCCTTACTTTTTAAAATGTTTATTCTTTAAAATGTTGAACTTGTAATACCCCTCAATATGGAGCATCTCGTTTACAAGGCTATCCTGCTTGTCAACTGACATGTCCTATTTAAACCCATCAGTGTCCTCTCATGTATAATTGTTTTTGTACCAAACAGGCTGTGTATACCCGCCATAACAGCGAATGGTACTATCATGGCAGCCTACGAACGCAACATTTTATTTATTACCAGGCGAGAGCGCATGGAGACAAAATGCTTTCACAAAGCGGGACAGGTATGTGATGTGATATGCGTGCGTGTGCGTGCATGTGCTTTGTCTCCACAGGGAAGCAACTCCTGAGAGGTCGGGCTGATCCTGTACCTGCCGCCAGCCACACAGCGCGTCCATACGGGGGAATGAATTAAACTGGCCAGGGATGGGCAGGCGATATCCCGCAAACGCAGTTGCACAGCCCGGTGCTTCCCGTAAGCAAAACGCATCGCCAAGCACACACACCTCGACGGGTCGGGCGTAACGTGCATTAAACGGACGAGTGAGTGAACGCGGGGATGACTTGTCTCGGGCGAGGGCCATGTTTGGCACATCTGTCTTGTTTAGCGCCACCTCGGCATGAACAAAATTGCTTCATTATGAATATATAAAAATATGGAGCCAGCTGTGTTCTAGTAAACAGCTGTACGTTAGGTATAGTAATAATTTTAAATGCATTGTTCGACTACATTTATTATCAATCCATTCCCTTACTTGAATTTATATCGCTTCTCTGGGAAGCAAATGGTATGTGAATATTAGCTGTTTTCATACATTTATTATGTTTACATATATTTTCCCGTTGTTTTTGGGCGAGTGTTTTTACCGCAGGGCATTAACTTGCATGCTTCCATTTCAATTGCTTGCCACATTTTGTTTTTGCTATCTTTAATGGCCTGCCCCCCCCCCCCCCCATCCATTTCCGTGCTGTGCCCGTGGTCCGTATTTTTTGTTGAGTTTTAATTTGTGGTTTCATCCTTTGGGTTGATTTCGTCTTCTTACAGATTGTCCCTAAGCCTTACCCAGAGATTATCTGCACAGCTCCTCACAGCTTCCCCATCCCCCCTACCTCAGGTTTGCATGTAAGCCATTTATGTTCATGTTTTTAACGATTTTTACAATTTGTTTTCGTATTTCTGTTTAACTTTTTGAGTTCGCCCATGGCTAATGCGAAGTACGCATGAAGATTTAGTGGTTTTCTCTAACATTTGAGATCCCATTGTCAATCGCATGTTGAAGTAATGAGTATATTGTTCTTAATGAGATTTTATTTTCATTAAAAACAACGTGAATCATTACGTCCGTTCAACAGATGAGTACATGCTTGTTTTGAAGTACCATATACCACCACCACCTTGTGCGTGCCTGTAATCAATCCAGCACCATCACACACATTCTGTGAAACTTCCATCCCATGGGCATGAAGGTGTCATACCCTGATTTGCCAGGAGAAGGCAGTACAGTGAAGTGCGGACAAGTCTCCATCTGTCCCTTCTGTATGGGATGTAGTGTTGCTCCCTCGCACACGTGGGCTTTTATGGTTGCTCCGGTTTCCTCCCACGTGTAGAAACACCCATTAATTGACTGAAAACATCTTAGTATACGGAGGACCACAGAGCTTGGGCAATTGATGGTGCCGGCTCGCCTACCTGGCTGTAATTAAATAATGACCTTTATAAATTTAGGACACAACACAAAGATGACTGTTCAGATAAATTCATCCATGTGTGGTGCAATATTGTAGCCCTTTCACAGCCCTTTACCTGACTCATTCATTCATATATATGTGCGCACACATGCAGAATGTGCCTGGAATATACATGACACTGCAGGGAGAACGATCCCATCGCTGCTTGTGTTTCAATTGCAGTCGATTCCACATTCGGAGCGATGCCGGCCACGGTCGGGCAGGCCATTGGGCCACTGGAAGCGGCGAGCGGCCAGGCCGGCCCAGCCCAGCCGCCGTCCTCCCTGCGGCTGCGCACGTCGCACAACGAGCTACTCAACGCCGACATGCGGCGCTCCGACGGCAGCGGCACCACCCCACCCAAGAGCCGCAAGGCGTACGCCGCCACCAGCCTGCAGTCCTGCCATGGGCCTGCAGTCCGCCATGGGCCTGCAGTCCGCCACGGGCCTCGGGGGCGGGGCGGAGGGCGACGACGCCGAGGGCCGGGGCTCCGTGCTCGCCGTGCCGGTTGGCGGCGGGCTCGCGCGCCGGCACAGCGAGAGCGCCGCCCTCGGAGCCAGCGGCGCGGACGTGCACAACGCCAACGCGAAACTGCTGAAGAACGGAGAGAACCGACTGCGCAAGGCGGCCGAGCTGGGCCAGGGCACGCAGCCGCCGGCTCACGACGCGGGCCGCGACGGCCCACCCCGCAACGCCGACGCGAATGCCGAACTTAACCGCGGCTACGAGCAGCTTGGCGGCCAGGCTCCCGCCACACGAGACCCCAACCGCAACGACAACTGTCCGGGCAACAACAACGGTAACGTCGGGCTGGAGAAAGCGGAGGGCAAGGAGACCAGCGACGGACAGGAGGACGAGGCGCCCGCCACTGTCTCCGCATCGCAGATGAAAAAGAATAAAAGCTTCCTCGGCTACTACGCAGACCTCGAGTCGGCCTTCACCGGCAAGGGAACCCTGCTGCTAAACGGAGACTTGAGCGGCAAGACCGAAGGCCCGCGCGACGGCACCACGGCCCGCGCGGACCCTTCCCCCTCGGCGTCCGAGTCGCCGAGCTCCGCGACGGAGCGGCCCAAGGCAGCGGCGGACGCGCTGTCGGAGCTGCAGGCGCCGGCGGACGAGGCGGAGCAGGGGGACGAGGACGGGGGCAGGGCATTGCGCGGGCGCATGTTCTTTGGGATGAGGAACACGGCGATGAGCGACGAGGACTCGAGCTGGACCACGCTGTCGCAGGAGAGCGCCTCGTACACCTCGCCCGAGGACTCCGGTCAGTGTGTGGGGGGGGGGGCGGTGGGCGTCGCAGGGTTCTCGGGATTCATTCAGTGGCAATAGACGAGGTTTAGAGAGCCAAATGAAGTTACCCTCGCACATGAAATAGACACGAAGTTAACTCTCAATTAGCCACGGTGGGAATTATTAGAGCTTGCGAGCATGTTGATTAAATATTTTAACAGTCGCGCTGGTTCTATGTTGAGCTGCCCCTCACTAGTCGGTGATCACAAACGCGGTGTCTGTGGGAACATAAACATGTTAGCAAGTAAACTGATTCCTTTAAGATAAAAGCCATATTCTATGTTATTGCCCTCATACAAAACAAGTAGATTTATATTATCCTTCTATTTGTTTTACCTGGGCCACCCCCTTCCCCCCATTGCACATTGATGGTTGGTGAAATACATTCTAAAAGCATATAGAATTCAAAGTAAAGCAGGTGGCTCTGAGAATTCATATGATTTTTTACAACATGTTTACTTTTATGGTGGTGACTCTAACATACCGGTGTCATTTTATTTGCTTTTTTACTTAAAATTTCACCTTTGATGGCTACAGCTATAAAGTTGTCTTTTTTGTTTGTTTGACTTACCCACTCCTTTTATCTTCGGCTTTTAACTTTCTCCAGGAGCATGATTGTAGTCGGGCATTTGTGACCGACATGTAATGCCGGGCCTGCCGCCTCCCACCGCACGGCCCACCTGTACGATGAGATGCTATCACCGGGGTTGTTTGGAAGCACGTGGCGCCGTGCAGATTGCCGCTGCAGATTTGCAATGACCTGATTGGTAGACCGACTTTTCAGGGAGCAGGCGGTATGGGCATACAAACACATGTATGTGCGCACACAGATACAAAGATAAAGATCCCCCGTGTTGTCTATACAGGCTTTTTGGGCAAGTGCTGTTAGCGAGCACCATGGCGCACGAATGGGTGGCGTGACACGATGCGGTGGCGTGTCTAGCACCACGCCTGGCCACCTTTGTCTTCCCATCTTTACACACCAAACCTACCTGATAAATTAGGGCTGAGTTGACAGGTTAAGATCAGGCGCCACTGATGTTGGCCACAGCCAAGTATCATTCTTATGTTGTTGGATTCTTAGCACAGTGCGCTAACCACCACCCCACCACTCCACCCACACAATTACGTGCACGCACAAAGACAAAGATGCCCTGTATAGCCTTAACAGACTGGTGGGGCAATTGCTGTTAGAAAGCACCTATGAAGGCCAGAATGGCACACGAGGGGGTGGGTGACCAGCACCTACGCCCAGCCGCCTTTGTCTCCCTAGTGGCGATGTTTTTACGCCCTGTACCAGGTACTCATTTGAGGCTGAGTCGACCTAGGGCAGGTCCAGGACCGGTTCAGATAATTGTCACATGGCCGTGAACTGAAATTGAACTCGGGTCGTCAGGTTCGTAGCGCAGTGCGCTAACCGCTACACTACGCACACACACACATGCACATAGAGAGCCATGAACTGTCGTGGGTGGGCCTGTCTGTGGATCCACCTGCGTTAAAAAACGAATTTAGGAAAAAAATCAGTAATCCCAAGTTAAGAATCTTGACATTTTGCTCGTGTAATAATTAATTGCTCATCGGTGTGTTTATTTGCCGGAGAGTAGGACCGTTTTGTACTGGGTGATTTTTACATTCCCCACCCGGTGCGCTGCCTGTGCAGTCTTGTTTCCCTTCGACCATACTCACGGCGTGGTTTGTGGGGCTTTGCAGCACACTCTCCTGTGTTAATACCAGCTGTCATCGAATGTCATATTCCGTGATTGTGGGTAAGACAGATAGAGTGAACTGAAATGTTTTTTGGCGATCGTAACGACGGGTCGGGGGTGGAAGGTTTAGCTTTCGGATTGAATCAACGAAGCGGTCACAGTAAATTCCCCGCGCGCTTTTGCTCAAAGACATTGCTGCCGAGTAATTTCCCACACGTACCTGTTTTAGGCCCTTTCAGCAGAAACCGCTGAAAGTGGCATCCGTTCGCCCCGTGCAAGCGGGTGACTATACCTGCAGGAGAGATGCCACGCTTAGACGACAAAAGCTTGGCGCAGAATTAGGGGGGAGGTTGTTATTCCTGACCTGGAGGGTAACGGACAAATGCCACGCGTGCCGCACTGTCCTGCATTCACGCCCCATTAAAGCTGTCAATTTTCACACTGGAGAAATGCATCATCGGAGCATTTTTCAACTGCGAAGCAGTGCGCTACTCTTTGCCTTTAGCCAGTGCTCTCAAGTGTGGCCAGAATTTTTGTTTGGTTAAATTGAGCCTAGATTATTGGCATTCACGTCGGAATAGGACCTAATTTATCAAAGTGGGTTGGAGCCACTGGATTTCGTTGACACAATGGGGGATGCGCGACACGTGTGGATCTATGTTGCACGCGCCAGCAGTGCCTCACTAACGAGCGCATCAAGCTGAGTGGTGGTGGTAGCGTGCCTAATGGATATTAAGCAGAGCTCAAATGGCTCGTGGTGGTTTACATCTGAACTTAGGGACGCAGCGTCATACCTGAGAGATTTTCATCTGTGATGGAAATGCACGGGCTCCCGACAGCTTTACATTACATTTGCAGCAGGCCGCAGCTCTTGAACGGTGTCCCAAAGTACAAAACTGCAAATCACTCGCGTAAAGATTGCCCTAGCGTCAAAGCCAGTGGGATATGGGACGGTCGAAGAGCAGTGTTTCCGCAGATGTTAACGTTTAATATTCCGTCCAATAACCAAGCGAGTCACCGTTCCTACGAAAAATATCTCTGCGTCACCCTTTTTAACGGCCGAGGGATGCAATTTTGTTTTGGCGAGCCGCAGCGGTGGGAAGGCACTGCGATTAGCGCTTTTGCCGCACAGTTTGATGAACAGCCTTCGCTGTCAGGTGGAATTGGCTTAATCGGGGGTGCGGGGTTATTCGATGAGCTAAATGCCGTAGTGTGCCGCAGTCACGGCCGTCAGACACGCAGCACGACGCATCGACCTGGCAGTGCCTGATGCTCGTGCGCAGCCTCCTCCCCGCCCTCACGGTGTCCGGGTGGGAGCCGTGAATCTCCAGCGGGAAGGTAAAATGGCGCCGCCCGTCGCCGCCACCGCCACCACCACCCAGCTGTAAAGGCAAACTGCTGCGGAGAGCGGGCGAGCTCTTGGGGGGCGAGTCTGTGTGGCATCGGATCGTGGCCTGGTGCGTGGCAGCATCTTGCGCTGGCAATCATGTACGGCAAGGACTTCATCCTGGCCGTCATCATTTTAGACAAAGAAGGTACGAGTGTCGTTGCCATAGAATTCGGTGCCTTGTTTCACCCTTCATGTTTCTTTACATTTGCTCTCGGATTTTTTTCTTTTACGTTTCCATAGAAACAACTGTCTGGCATTTCATAGTTTTTTAAATAAGATTTGGCAATGAAATGTGTTATGAAGTGAGTAATCCAGTACATGGCAAGTGGGCATTTGCACCCAGGGATGAAAAAAACATGTAATGCAGGTTTTTTTTCTTATTGCAAATCTGATAGATTTATCTTTAAAACTTACTGAGCATATCTTCATAGAGCTGCAGTGATGTGTCCAGTAGGTATGTTTGTGGGAAATAAATGTAAAAAACTTATGAAACTGAGATTACTCACTCTGAAGTGACCTTTTATTTTACACTAATATTGCATGTAATTTTGTGTTTTTTGTTAAAATATATATTTACGTATGTAATTTACATTCACAAAATGAAAGTATATGGGTGCTGTTTCGATTTGTGGCGAGTGTACTTGCCATTGAGCAAGTTTGGGTCCTCCAACTGTTCTCTAATCACAACAGGCAATCACTACAGGCAATTACACCATCAGTTGTAACGTGGACATTTAACGATCTTGCGTCATCAATCGCGGAAGTGTGCCTCTTTTTCCCGCCGACGTATCTCAAATCCTACATTTAAATATAAATTCAACCCGGCTACATTTTAATAATTAAATTTTGGCCCTGCGTAATTACGGTTGCACGCTGTCTTCCTTCGAACGTTGATAATACATCTGAAGGTTCTGGGCTAGTTAAATAAAGGACATTGATTTATCCATTTATTTAATACCTTGTAGAGTTATGGGTTAATCTTCAATATAAATAAATTGATTGGTTCGTAGTCATGACAGAAATGATGACTCAAGCGTGTTTGTGTGGCATTTTTTCCGTCTGTAGAGAATGCACTACAGTATTTATAATGCACCCCACTGATGCGGAGACCAGCGCTGTAAAAATAGATGGGGAGTTGGCGGCATTTCCTTCCTGTCATGCCCGCCTGCTGGGACGTGACTAAATAAAGGTGCTGGCGTGGGAGTGCCGGCTTGTTCATTTTTTTTGCACAGCCGTGGATGCAAACCTCCTCCTCTCGAGTCAACGTTTTGGCCAATAAGCCTTACCCCCCAGGACAGACGCCAACTCGCGGGGAATTAACACGTTTCGCATGCTCGCCATTCCACCCAGACTCAAAACCACAGTCTAATTCTAGGGGAATTCCAGCAATCCAGCAGGAACAAGCGAATTTGTTTTGTCCAAACGAATTGTGCATTGAATCTCGTCGACTTGAGTTTGATTTCAGGCCACAGCTAATAGCAGTGGCGAGTGAGAGCTGAACCAGTCCGGGTCTCGCTCCCCTTCACCAACCCGCACTCGCCAGCGTGGCGAACTATGGTCAAACATCCCCCACAAAGGGCTGTAAACAACCGAAGACAGATACGAGTCGGATTGATACTAGTGTGGGTTGTGCGGAAATGGTGGCTGTGATGGCATTCGGGATAACGATGTGGAGGCATCCTGCATAGCAACGATGTAACTTTGATGCGGCGTAATCTGGGAGTCTTTTTGCAAATCTGTCTTTCTTTCCGGCTACTGGATCGTATCGACGCATTCTGCCGCTACTCCCCTATCCAGTCCCATCAGCCACAAAGACTTGATAGTAAGCATCATGGATGTAATAATTTTGTCTCCTTTAGTGTACAGATTAATCAGTCATTCCACATTGTTAACTGATTTAATTAACAATAAAAATCGGCGTATAACAGGGGAAAGTCAATACCAGTGGTTTGACGATAACATCGGAAGAAATTAAATGTTAAAATCTGTGCTGTAATTCAACGATGTTGATTAAATGTACAGTGAACCAAAATTCATCGCAAACAGGCGGAAACGCTGGATTGTGGATTGGTTAAAGAGTGCCCCCTAGGAAAGCAGCCGAGCAAGGCGCTGGTGCAGAGCTCCTCAATGACGGGCGGTCGTTAAGTCCCCTCCTACAGGGAGGAATTCATCTGCGCGGGGACCTGCCTGCTCTTGAAATGGCCCTGCCCGTGTGTTGTTCCCCGGGAAAGGACATGTGCCATTACATATTTATGGGCCAAGCACATATTTATGGCCTAAGTGCTGTAATGAGTTCGTTATCACGCGGTGAACAGATTCTCTCTCACTGTTTTGGCGTTCGACCAGTGTGCCCGCCAGTGTGTGGGGTTAATTTACGAGTGCCGCTGCCGTGATTGCCTTTTTTGTTGTTCCTCTGCGCCTTTTCTCCTTCAACACCCCCATGATACCTGAATACAACCCCCCCCCCCCCCCCCCACAGCACGAATGTTTATTTCTGACTGTGCGCACACAGTGGGTATACGTAGCAGCAGCAACATTGCATTGAAGAGGATGGCAGTCGAGGATACATGTACACTGGCCATCAAAAATGTAGCTCGGACCTCCGCCACACTTGTCGAGGAGTTGGTATTGATATTCAATGTCTGTTTACACAAGTTTATCCAGCGATGGTTGGGCTGAAGGGCTGCATGTGTGCACACTAGTTGCTTTGGTGCAACTACACAAGTTATTATTTGTGTTCATCTGGTATCATGGGGGGTTGTGCTCTGGCAGTCCAGAGGTCGCCAGTTCGATCTTGTTGCACGTGGCGAACAGATCCTTTTGGCAGTACGAGTACACCACAGTCAATCGGCGGGGTGAAATGTGGGTACCCCCACCTATTCCAAGTTGTCTGGCCGGCATGGAACAGGAGGCAACAAAATGCCTTCTGGAGCGGGTCTCTAGAGCTCCGTCCGTCTGGCGGAGGTCCTTCTGCGAGCAATTGCAGGCCTGCAACCTTTTACCCTTCTTCACCTTGCGATAGAGATCAAAGTGGAGTCGTAACCGCGCCGCTTTGCTCCGCGTGGTTTGAAAGCAGATGGGCTGTGGACGGATCCGTCATTCGGCTCGGACCCGGACCTCCCTCCGGGCTGGAAGAAGGTTTGCGACTCGTCGGGGACCTACTACTGGCACATCCCGACGGGCACCACGCAGTGGGAGGCGCCGGGGGGCACGGCTCGCTCCGAGGGCGACGGCGAGATCGCCTCGCCGGGCACTTGCACCGAGAAGGACATCTGCTCCGTGGAGTCGTCCGCCGTCAGCACTCCGGCCGACTCGCCGGCTCAGGAGAAGGAGGTGAGGGCCCGCCACGGGGATGGATGGACATCAGCAGAGGCACGACGGAATTTTTTTCCCCCTTTATTGTCGACGTCCATGTAATGGGTGCCATGGTGGAAAAATATTATTTACCTCGCCTGGTATATAGGAGGTCGTGGGTTTTGATCCCGACACTGAAACCTGTATATTTGGAGTTTGCGTCTCTTTCTCTCCCCATGGTCGCGTGGATTTTCCTCTGGGTCCTCTGGTTTTTTCCCTCCACATGTAGAATCAACATCACTGCTATAAATTTCGATGGGATAAGCCACATCGTTGAGCTTTCGTTTGTGGCCAACTCGCTTCTGAAAAATAGCTGTGGTGCTCAGTGGGCCTTACCTGGTAAAATAAATAATTTTGTTTAATCCTTCATTCGAGCAAAATATCACCGCGTGCAGAGATTAGCTGTTCTCCATCAGTGTCTGTGCACTCGTAGGGTACAGTCATCACCATCATCAGCCATGTTTAGTCCAATATTGGTTGAAGGCTGCCATCGTCCCTCACGGCTCTGCGATGTAGCGATCCATCCGGCACCTGCATATGAGTTGGTTTCATTGCTCCATCTCTCCAGTGGACTTCCATCGGCAGACTCTTTTTTTCCTTGGGCTGCCACTGTTGTTACTCTCACCCACCGGCCATCATCCCTTCTCACGGTGACATGTCCTGCCTAAACCCACTTGGTTTTATTAATAGACAAAATTACGTCCCTAACCTGCATATATTCCCTCCGATTCATGTTATCCCCTTTCTACGTACGTCTATCTCGGATCGTTTGTAGGTGTTGTTCATCCCGCGGCCTTAACCATTGTCTGCATGTGCAGGTTTAAAGACGTAATTTTGACTGTAGAAAAAAACAAGTGGGTTCCGACAGGATGCATCACTCGAAGGGATGATGGCCAGTGGTCGAGGCTGATGATGGGATGGCAGCCAAAGGAGGCCCACCTGAAGCAATGGAACGATTAAATCGGCTCGTGTGGAGGAGTAAACTGGATTGTTACATCCTGAAACTGTTAAAGATGGAGACGCCCTGGTAAAGGCCTTCATCCAGCAGTGGATAGATGATGATGATGATGGTGGTGAACATACAAGTATAATTTACAGTGCGTATTAAAAAAATACAGTTGGTTCAGTAGATGCAGCACCTCAGCTGTTATGGTCACATAATTTGTAAGCCGTGTGCCCGTGTGTGTGTAATGTTTCATTACACCAAGTAAATAACGGCCTTGATTTAGAATTGCACCACAAATATGACATGAGATTAAATGCTCACAATTAAAAACCACAACACAAATAACAAAGCCTGGAGGTGTTTGGACAGGTTTTAACGGAGTTTACGACTATTTGGCACTGCATGACCCAGTGCGGCCGCTGAATAGTTCCTCCCACAAATACCTGAAGAACTGCTCCTTTTCCAGCATAAGTGGTAAATCTTTTGAGGTTAATAAACTCGATGCGAAATACCTTGACAGCTCTGCAGCGGTGGAATTCCCTGCCTCTGGATTGAGTGCCCATTCTTTAGTCAAAAGTGCGCTTGGATGGAAATATTGTTTGTGCCGCTTTTCCATGTGGGAGCGATGTGCCAGGGCGGTATTGTGCTAATCGATTTGCATATAGAAGCCTCATTAAAAAAAGAGCCATAGCTGTACTAGAATCCCCACAACTAATTCCGAAGGGTTTAGTGCGTCAGTCTTAAAGTCATAAACGTTATTCATAAAAGAACGGGCAATTGTTTGGTGCGGTGCGGTGTGGCGTGCAACCATAACCGTGTGCTTTCCCTGCGTCTTACTTTTGTGTCTCCCCTCCTTGTCCTTTGCAGCCTGTGTCTGCCATCTCTGTCTCTGGCCTTTGTAGAAAAATAGACTTTAATGAATGGAAGGCAAGTGTTCTCCCTGTACCCACAACCAAATCGAGCCCTGGCTCTTCCACAAATGTCACATTTTCAATCGGACTTTGTGCTGTGCGTGTCGTGTGTGTGTGTGCGAGAGAGAATGGTTTTCTCATTGATGTTTCGCATTGTTTGTGTTTGTTAAAAGCATGCTTTTTTATCAGTGTACCGAATTTTGTTTTAAAGTAACAACCATTAACCAAAGTAACCTTCATAAGCACGATATTTGTACCAATAATTGATTGGCGTCGGTACATTTGATGTGACATAAATTCATTGCATTTGAAATGCCGTTACACTCTGTAAAAAGACAAAAAGAGAGGGGATTAGCTGTGGGTGTATTTGAGCCGGAAACTCTGTCAATTGACTTTCTCGCTCATCCCCGCATTTCTTTAGGAGATCCAGGCTGCTACTGTGACCCCTGACCCAAGCCTCAAAGAGTTTGAAGGAGCCACTCTGCGCTACGCTTCCCTCAAGCTTGGGTGGGTATCGCTCGCTCACACTAGCTGGGACACTGCTGAGCTCCGGAGCCACTTTGTGCCTTAGACATCAGTTCCAGGGGACTCTGTTTGAGTTGGTGCAATGAGCACATGGGGGAAAGGAGGCATTTGGCCAAGTGCCATCCAATTAGAAATGAGCCATTCCGTGCATTCACGCTCCCTCGAGTCTCTGACAGTGGAGTGCAGTGACAGCTTGCAGTGTTTGTAGTGCTCCTCAAAAAATAACAAAACACCGAACACATGAGTTAATAATGCTGCCTTAAAAAGGGAATATATAACAAGCAACGTTTTGAGTAATGACCCATTTTTATAGAACATGAAGAAGGTCCATTGTCTGAAACGTCACCTATTATATATTTTTTTAAACTTTTAAACCACTGTTATTGACAAATATTTACATTTTGTTTTCTATTTGTGCTCGTACACCAACGCAGCGTCACCAAATAATTTCCTTCAAAAATAGATTGCGGAGGCTTCATGCTGAATCACAATACTGTGTGCTTGCGTTGTTTACCAAGGCAAGCTGTTTAAATCTGTCGTGACACTTGTGAAACACTGCAGTATTGCGATGTGCACATTGGGTTGCAGATGGAATTATTTTTACCACCAGCCATCACAGCCATAGACAACCAATGAAATAATTTAACACCATTAGTTGAACAAAAAAATATCTACGTCTCTTCCTTCCCCGCACCTCCGATTAGCGTAGTTTGCTACGTATGGTGCGAAAGAAGTTCTACATACATAAGTAATGGCGAAGGAAAAAAAAACACGTTAATTTAGATCTGCAAGGGTAACCTGCAATATGGCTCTTGACAGAATGGTCGACCATTCGTCTGTTACGAGCCGATGGGACGTCTGCAATCGGCCAGCAAATCCTTGCTTGTGTTTCCGCCAACCAGAACCATAACGGCTTCCAGACCAACTCGAGTAGCCTCTCCATCGGTCTGGAATGCTCTGCTAGATGACCTTTGCTGTGTCCCATCTCACAAAATGTTCCAAAAACATAAAAAAAATATATAATTGTTTCGCGTAGCCTTGGGGACTCGGACCAAAAGTCACCGGCTCCTCTACACTCAAGCATCGCCACTGGCCTAAGCCTCGTGACGTTGTCTCTTAAACTATGGGGCTGGACAAATAAATGTTATTGTTTTTATTATAATTATTTTTGTTATTTTGTCCTGGAACTGAGTTGCACTGACACTCGAGGAGTGGCGCAGGGTTCCAGGAGCTTTATTCCTGGGAATCCTCAATGCAAATACAGCTGACTTATACTACTGATGTACACGAGCAGCGTGGTGGACTTTGTGCTATGCATTCGCATGCAAAGCTATCTTTGGCCTATCCAACGGTTATCTGGTTGTGTGGACAGATGAGCTTAGCGATAGATGTACTTTACGTTGTTGCTGTCCCTGGTTATCTTCTAACCCTCCACAGGAAACTAAACGATTGATGTATCCAAGAGAAGATCGTGGTTGTGAAGGAGAAAACTTGAATGCAGAGGTTGCGTGGGCATGCCCTGCGGAGCTGAATATCTCGGTGCTCATGCCATCATCCTAAAGGGCGTGGGTGTTCACATGAGTGGCTCTGTTTTACTTGCAGACACGCGAAGCAGCAGGAGCTTGAGGATGGAAAGGAGAACATCGTTAGTGATCCAGAATCGAAGGTGCTTACCTCTCACGTTAATTAAGTTGACCTTTTGTGATACGTATGTCAAATGTTACGATTTGACCGTGCATTGGTTAAAATAAATATGTAAACAAATGAACACATTTTTCAAAATCTTGAGTGGAATAAGGTTACGTTGGCATGCTCACTCTCGATTTTTTTATATGTGAATCTACATTTGTGCTAAAATACTTTGAGCAAATGTGCCGTTTCTACTGCTGCCAGCCGTCTGCACTGATGGACCCGGGTGCTAAGCAGACGGACCGATCGATAGTGTTCATTCGCATGGTTGCGCTTTTGGGAGTACGTCATGCACCGTGACCACAGGAGGGCAGTGCTGTGTCTCTTTTTGCTCGTGATGTCAGTTGTTCCACCTTGCTGCCTGGGAACAAAAGCTTCTGTACTTGAAAGCGCTGACTTCTTGACCCACCTAGCATTGAATTAATAATAGAACAAACGTAGAACACCCCCCCCCCCCCTCCTCTCTGCACGCACTTGCCATGGTTGTCGCCTGCCCGCGATTTTTGGACTTCGTGTTGTGCCGGTGCTGCTGCTGCTGACTTGAAGCGTGTTCCCCCGGTGATGCTGGCGCAGTGCTTCGCGGTCCGCTCGCTGGGCTGGGTGGAGATGTCCGAGGAGGACCTGGTGCCAGGCAAGAGCAGCGTGGCTGTCAACAACTGCATCCGCCAGCTCTCGTATCGCAAGAATGACATCCGCGACACGGCTGGCATCTGGGGCGAGGTCAGCACTGGCGTACCTTGTGTGCGCGCCCGTTGATAATTAAGCCATGCTTCTTGTTCATGTAATAGTGGAGTCGTTGTTGCGGTTAAATAAATGTGCAGTGTTTGTGCTTGTAATTGCATGGCTGAGCGATGCGTTATTTTGTTGACACGTTTATGTTTGTGTGCGGTACTCGTGTTCGATTTCATTTGTAGAAAAAAAAATGCATTCTGATTCTGGTGCACACAATGGCAGCCACAGTGGAATAGCTCGAATTTAAATTGAAATAACCACACGAAATAGCCGATAAAATATATACACATGCATGTGACAGACCTCCATTTCACCTGCAGCATGCGCTATTTAAAAATGCACTAAAGCAACCGGGGGTACGCGTTGATTTATTGCACGACAAAATTTCGCACATTTGCAGAGGAAAGAAATCTTTAGGTCTCGTAAAAAATAAATGGGCATATGATGATCGTAAATGTAACGAATGGATGTCCGTGCAATGCACGCGCAAGCCACTCGGCACAACGTTGTGCGGCGAACGTGACGTCGTCGCACTCCGCCTTGACCAACTGTGCCTCACTCGGGGCATCTGGGCCAAGGGGTTGGCATTCCTTTCTAGGAGCCAAGGGATGCATTAAACTCCTTGCCTATTGACTGAATTAAGCAATTCCAGTTTTGTGGTGTAATCCACTGCAGCCATTAGTCTGTCTCTTGATGCCGAATGCCTGCACAATTTTGCAATCTGGAAGTATAAATTTTAAGTGTGTATAAGGATTTTCACGTAACTCAAGTGTGCTGTTGAAAAGGATTTGTGTGGTGAGCAGCCTTGCCTAGCCTTTCGGGACTGCGTTCTGCCTGCGAGTCATTAACGATTGACATTCTGACGATTGCAGAGGAAGGAGAGGCTACTAAAGAGATGGGTGCCATTGGTGTTGGGCAAGTGTGAAAATTAGATGCCAGCTGGCCAAATTTACACTTAATTAACACACTGCAGGGAATGGGCATGGACAAGACACTACTTTGGCAATAAAAAATGTGTTCTTAACCCATTAGAATTTTAAGTTTGTATCCGGTCATCAATGTGTTTACTAGGTTGCAGAAAATAATAATGCTCATTAGGCTGATTATAAATGGGCTGCAAAACGGTTCACGTCGTACTGATGGTATAAAATGTACTTGCTTCGTGTTTACAAATATGGGGTTGCAATGTGGGAAGCAGTAGTACATTAACATCATCATTGTCGTTTCCGGTGAGAATTTGTGTTTGCATGATGTTGTTTGCAAAATATTTTTTCTTGAGAATTTGAGGCTCCACTTCAAATTGGTGCCATGTGAAGCATAGCCTATTTGATGATGAACCCCCTTACCGCTGCAGCAACACCTGATGTCAATGTAACAGACGACTGTACGCCAGACTACTTGTTTAGCTTTTTCAAATACTGCAAATTGTTTGTGGGAAGCGACGAGTTATACAGGTAGGAACAACAGGTTCCACACTGCCCACCAGGGATTATTTGTCTGTTTGTCGTGCATATTTGTCTGTCGTGCACGAATGCGCTGTCCAACCAAGTTCCTACCTGCCCACTCCGAAGGAACGTATTTTATCAATCTGTATTTTCTCGACCGAATACAACAACAAAAAATCTTTCAATATTTTACAAATGGTACACTCCATTATTAAACGTGGGCTCAAAATAGCTCTCCTTTCCATGCAAAAGTGTGTCTTCTATGTGAACAGAATTTCAGGACCTATCCTTGGTTTGACCTAATATCTCACGATGCATTGGAGGAGCCAGACTAATGCACCTGAACACAAACAAAACACAAAATGCATGGCCTGCATTTACACCGTGGGCAGTGCAGCAAAGGTCGTTGTTTGTTGCTTTTCTTTTACGCTCCCATATCTATGCCCTCCCCTACGTTCAACCAGGCAAACGAGAAGCATCGTGAAGTTTTTTGGTCAAACTATAGATAAGACATTCCTAAAGTTCTTCCCCCCCCCATAAAAAGTGCAGCGAAGCAAGAGGAATGCGCACTGGCAGGCGGCAGGGTGCATTCCTCGCTTGGGAGCTTCTGTACATAAATATATCATTATTTTGCCTACTTTAATCATTCTAACATGGTTGAAAGGGGGAGTTGCAGAAACAGTGTTAAGACATACGAGTGTGATTGTTGGACGAGGGAGGAGCAGATGTTGTTCACCAGAGGAGGAATGATGAAATGGATCTCAGGGATCACGAGACTGGATTGGGTCACAAACGAGAAAGAAAGCAAGAGTGGTGGTGAGCTCGGACAAGCTGAAGGAATGTAGAATCACAAGGCTAGGACGTGTCGTGAGGAGAGAGCAATGGAGGTGGTGAACAAATGAAAAGCACCAGGGCGGATACCGAGAAGCAAGCCCAAGAAAGAGTTAATCCCAAGCAGTGAATCAGCAGCATGTGAATGACTGTGGAGTGGACGTGAAAATAACCCAGGACAGGAATGAATGGAGAGGCAGGACTCGACGCTAGTGGCAATAATGTCAGGAAGAATAATTATTCACCTCCGTCTCAGAAATGTCATCCTGACCACTTCCACATGCAGCCTTGTATCCAGGACTTCCTCACATTGCCTCTCTTTCCCTGACCCCCCCTCCCCCCCGATTGCGATATTTACCCCACCAACAGGGCAAGGACATGTTCTTAGTGCTGGAGAACGACATGCTCGACCTAGTGGATCCCATGGACCGCTCGGTGCTGCACTCTCAGCCCATCGTCAGCATCCGTGTATGGGGCGTCGGGCGCGACAATGGCCGGTGAGCCCCCCCCCCCCCCTCTCATTCCCCCCCCTTTCATCACCCCCCCCTACACGCAGACAACTCGTAAGTCCGGTAAATTTTTGTTATGCGTGCGAGTATATACAGTTTACTACTATATTTTGAATGTGTGAGTGTTGATGGGATCTTCTTCGTGACGGTTGATGTATTTGTCAAGTGTGTGTTTTGAAAAACAGAGCTGCGGATAACACGAGTTAATGTGTGTAATTTACTACTTTATTAAAAGTATCGTTTATTATCTAAAACGGATATTTTCAGCGATGAAAAGAATACAATTTCGATTTAAAGCTTTCGTGACTGCAGGGATTCATCTTCTTGTTTCTTTCGGTAAAGTCACGTAGAAGGGAAGTAATAAAATAATAAAAATAAAACATAATAAAACAATTCTCACGACGTTTCGGCTACAACGCAAGCAGCCGTCTTCAGGTGAAGAATGAGACACTACCAAACTAGGAGCTTATATATAAGCTGCATTGGGGGTTGAAGAGCGCCTTAACCAAAAAGAATGTGCATGTGAAGAGGGATTTAGCATATTCATGGAAAATGCGTAGGCGTTGGGCGGGGGGGTGTCAAAGTCATATTATGCCCATGCATTATGCAGGATCAGCAGCAACCAAGGGGGGTGCAGGGATTAACTAAACCCCCAATGCAGCTTATATATAAGCTCCTAGTTTGGTAGTGTCTCATTCTTCACCTGAAGACGGCTGCTTGCGTTGTAGCCGAAACGTCGTGAGAATTGTTTTATTATGTTTTATTTTTATTATTTTATTACTTCCCTTCTACGTGACTTTACCGAAAGAAACAAGAAGAGAAGAATACAAGTTGAGTAGCCGAGATAGAAACATGTCAAAACATTAATTTACCTGGCACAAATTGATTTCGGAAAGCATGACGAACACTGTTTGGCTTTTGAGCCTTTGGGTTGCTGTGGGTATGAATTCTCTACATTCACTCCTTCATCAACGTTTGCGCCCTGTAGCTCGGCGCATCCCTTTGGGCTCGGTGAAGTGAGCTCCCCCTGGTGAGAGGAGCTGTTTGGGTAGTCACCGCTGTGGTGTTCCTGGTGGACGTGCGGCACTGCTGCAGGAATGCAAAATGTTCACCTCCGGCTGAGACCTTCTGGTAGAGTTGAGCGAAGCTCGCAGGTTATTGAGGGAAACTGTCTCTCCTTTTTTTCAGTCGACTAATTAATTTTTGTGAAGGCAGCCACGCTCTTGCGGTGTAATAAATTCCTCATTCTTTAACCTTCAGCGACACACTGACAGTTATTGCCGTGACGTTTAGTGGGTACGTTGGTTTCCCGTTGACCGCAGGTATTGTGCACTGATGCGGGTAAGACGGGAACATGTTGATGTGCTGTTTAATTATCCGGCTGAAATATTTTTTTTCCTTGATTTTTTTTTATTACCCCCCTCAGGTCCTTAATATATATCGTTGTTCATTTCAACCAAAGAGTTTTTTTTCTTTTTTTGCTAAAATCCCTCGGTGTGACTGTACTGTCCTGAACGCCCACATTTTGTTCGCAGTTTTAAATTAATTACGAGGCCTGTGCTGATGTCTCTTGCTTGAGTGGGGCATGGCTCATGAACATGGCAGCTCAGACTGTTGCAGAGGCCGAGTGAATCACGCATGGTTGATTCAGATAAGACTGGATGCATATCATTTAAATGCACCGTTGGTTGCTCTTTACCGCTATTTTCAATAGTTTTTCTTACTATTATTGTCAACATTTTTTTTGTGTTACGGATAATATTTATTTCCTCCAAAAGAACGTAGTAAAACACGTGAATGAGACACAAAACAAATGTGAGATCACGTCTGAAAGAGACCAGACCCATGCATGCACCTCAAGTGAAAGCTGCAGGGTTTGTACATTAAATTCCATGTAACATCTCACTCACCCTCTCCCCCACCCTCTCCACTAACTCTTTCTACCCCCCCCCCCCCATCTCTGTCTGGAGAAGTGGAAATGTCGTGGCCTCTATTTCCGTCACCGTACCCTTGCACGATGTAATTTGCCAAGGTCACCGCGACATGTCTGTGGATGAGCCCAATTTATTTCGTCTAATTCCTCCGTGTGATTTATAGTGGTCGTGAGAGAGAGCCCTGATGCTGCTCAGTGGCCAATCATGATTTAGGTCCCTGCGAGGGGCGTACGTATCTACTTATGTATGTTGAACTTCTTTCGCACCGTACGTCGCCAACTGTGCTTATCGGAGGTGCGGGAGAAGGGCACCTGAACTAAACACAAAAACATCACTACGTGCACTGTTGTCGTTTTGCATGGATTGCACCACAATTTACCCAACTGGACAAAGCAAAGAGTCTGCACTTAACATTTATTTATACAGATTACATTTGTCACCAACTGTCTGAAGGGTTACATTATTTTTAAGAGCGTTTGACTGACTCATGAATCTCTCTTCAGACCAAGGTCTTGTGGTTTTCAGAGATCTGTAGCGCAGCGGGTTTTTTTTCATCATTTAATCACGCCCGCCTCAAAACATGCCTATATCAGCATTTTGGATTTACAATCTTGCCGACCACCAGCAGCAGCAAGCCCCCCCCCTCCCTGATCAGATAGAAAACCTTCGGGCATTCCCGTACACCCTCCGTGTTCCAGCCAGCGAGCAGCGCATCTCTAGCGTAGTGCGTTCCGTGCCCTCTGCGTGCACACATGCGGACGGCTGCTGCTCCCTTGAAATTTCAGTGGGAGGAGGAAGGCACGATGGGGGGCAGGGGGGTGTAGAGAGAGAGAGAGAGACGGGGTGGGGGTGGCGCGTGCACACGCTGCCTTCTACTACGCCTGGATCATTCTCTCGCATTTGTGAGTATTCAGACCTCCGCACTCGACCACGAGTACCGTGCCCAGCCCGTTTGTGGGTGTGCACTTGTTATTGGCTAAAGGCTAAAAAAATAATTTCGGCAGCAAAGGAAACATTGGCAGGGGTGCGGGGAGGCAGCGGAGGGTGCCGAGCACGGCACGGACAACCCGGTGGTGTACACGCCCACGAGGTGATGCCGCCCACGCCGCATGGCAATTTTCCGCTGCACGCCGTCTTTATCACACCACCCTCTGTTGGAACCTGCAGGCTGCCACACGCCAGGCTGTAATTTTCCACACTATGTTGGTAAGCACTTTCCATTGTACAAACAAATTTGATTGCGCTAAAGTAATGGTTATATGTAGAGGGTTGTTTTTGGTTTACCGTGTGGGGGCGATGGCAGCTTGTTGAATCTGGTTGTGCGATTTGATATATTTTTTTCCGCCTCCCTTTGAAGACAACTGTCACCCACCCTGTGTACGTCGTTATCGCGGCCGTGCAGCTTGCCTGCCATTAAAATATTCCAAAAGGGACTAGGGTCCACCTTCTCCACGTCGGTGACAAGCGCCTCGGTCGCTTCGCGTGAATCCCGCCCGGATGCTTCTGTTGACGCTCGATGGCTGGGCGGATCGTCTCGTTGCATGTGAATGAGGCACTTGGCCCAGTTATGAGTTTGGTGGCTCCCTCCTGTCAGATGGAGTGATGAATTAGAGGCTGCGCAGCCCCTGAGAAAATCGTCGTGGCCAAGGCTTCCCACCCCCACCCTGTACACCGAGCAGCCGTGTCGGGGACATTTGTTTAGATTGTTTACGGCACATTGAGTCCTTGCAGCTTGTCGTACTTCTTCGGCGATGCCTAATTGCCCTGCTGTTCGTGGAACACCGTTTTAATTGTTGCAGTTAGGGTGAAGGGTTGTGTTCTCTCTTCTTTAATGTAATGATGTGCAAGTTTAACATTTTGTGTGAGCGTGATGTGGAACGTAATGATGATTCTATCAATCAATTCTTAATTGTTCGTGTAAGAATGTATTATTTTTTTTATTCACAAACATTGTATGTAATTGCTTTGTAACCTCTGTAGCCACTAGAGGCTGCTACACACCACCCATGCTATATGTATTTAACAAAATTAATCCTTGAGTGATTGCGATGCTGAATCCGTGGCATGTCATTCAATTGTGAGCAGGAAAAAAGTTTCACTGCTCGTGATCACGTCTATGCACTGCACACTTAGCATGTAAAATATCAGATATGGGTTTGAATGTGATGTATGCCTTCCTTGGCGTATTACGAATATACCTCGTGTGGCATTAATGGATAAAGAACATTGTGTAAAACACACTTGCAAAGTGGTGATGTTACAGTCAAGCTGACTTAAAAACTATAACAAAAACTAGAGTAGAAGCTGACCTTGTGAATCTTTTTGTGTATTTCATTACTCTCTTCTCATAAAATTCCTCATGCCGTGACCCTTGTGGATGCAGTGAGAGGTAACAAAATATCTATAAAATAAAAGAGGACCGTGAAGTTAAAGTGGTGTACGAAAAGAATGTTTACACCACATGGAATGGTTCTAACACAGCTGCGTTGCAACACAAGGCAAAACCCCATCCAAGTCCATTGCCATGGCCCATGCCATGCTGTCACATCGCTTGCTGTCTTCCGAACTCACGGCGAGCCAGCGCTCGGCTCTCTGCCACCATCACACGCGCCATTTACCGTCGCCGTTCCTCATCCCTCCTCCATGTGCGCTGCACGTGCGCTGCATTTTCAGACCCATTTTATGCCAACTGCCAAACCCGTGATTTCACCTTCACGACTTTGTGCCAAGGATGAAGTTGGCCAGAGAACTCTGCGAAAGTTGGCCTGGTCTAAAAATGCTTTGTTTTTATTACTTCTATCTGTATTATATTTTTTGTTTGATTTTAGTTTTGTAAAAAAGAAAAAAACATTTTGTAAGCGATCACAGTCATTCAGTAAAGCCAGTGTTTGTGGCAACGTGCACGTGATGCTTGGTAAGTTGCCGTACAAATTCATCATCTCATTCAGTCGCTCCCTTATTTACATCGGAAGTTTCTTCATAAATTGACGCAAGGTGGTACGCATGAGCCTTCGTGTGTGTGTGTGCGTGCGTGTACACGCGACGCATAAAGCATGGACGCCGTGCGTATTTTTCCCCAAAGGGACTTTGCATATGTGGCCCGAGACAAGCTCACGAGGGTGCTCAAGTGTCACGTGTTCCGCTGCGACACTCCCGCCAAGGCTATCGCCACCAGCCTGCACGAGATTTGCTCCAAGGTGAGCGAGCCCAGACACTCGAGTGTCGCCTCACTCCCAAATCGCACACCGCCCTCTCTCTCCCTCTCCTTCTCACAACGATTGCGCCTCTCCCCTCGCCTTTGCAATAGCGCGATCAATGCTTTTGGGAATGAATAAATTCGTGAAACAACAAACTTTAATTGCTTGGGCTCAACCCGAATGTAAAAATTTGTGGTAATTGTTTTGCTTTGACATTAGCAGCATTAAAAGCATGAATGCACACACAGAGGCTGTGCTTTTTAAGGGGCTGTGTTGAATTGTTGCTGTTATAGGAGAGACATTGCCATGTATAAAATAATGTGAGGCAATATAGTGGATGGATGCATATGCACGCTTAATGTTGCCCCTCGATGAATTAATTGTGTTCCCAGCTGCCGCTCATTATATTCCGATCATAAAGGCGCATACAAAAAAACATACTCGGCAGCTCATGCATTGACTAGCAAGAAAGAGCAGTGCATTGTAAAGCCTAATTATAAATACGAATAACTTAAAGTCTTGTCATTCCATAACTACATGAGGGTTGTATGGCCACGATTTGCCACAATGGTATGTGCAAGTTGGTGACGGGAGGGCCCAGTGCCTGTTCAGATACTGACCGCTGGTGTTAGCCGTGGTCGGCAATCAAACTCATGTCCTCGAATTCACAGCACTGTGCTGAACCAGTGCGCCCTCCTCCCACCGCTCCACCCCCAGTAATAATAATGCTGTTTATGTACCCAACAAAGCCTCACTATCTCAAACTCGCTGTCCAGGAGGTTCCTGCATTGCGATATTTGGCCAATTAAATTTATGAGAAATTGGCATACGAGACGAAACTGGATTACTCGTAGAAAGAAAAAAAATCCACCTATCAGCAGCAAGCCTTGGTTCTCACTCGTCCATACACTCGCACGTGTCGGTCAGTCCTTCCGAGGTCGCGCGAGATTTGGCACATTTTTGGTTATGTGACCTTACGGGTAGTTGGCGTTGTACTCGTGGCATGTGCAACACACAGGATATTATTTCCCGCACCTCCAATTAGCACGGTTTGCTTCATACGGTGCGAAAGAAGTTTAACATACATACTGTGTGTCAACGGCATTCACGAAGAACCAAAAATACCTCGTTTTTCTCACTTTAACATATTCCACTTTCCTTTAATTGGAGTAAAATATGATAATACCAATTCACTTGGCACAATATACCTCTCACGGTAAAGAAGAATGAAACTTGTACAATTACTGAAATGTTGAAAGACCTCTATCTTGCGAAGCATTGCTGCACTTAAATATTTATTTAGTCATTATTTATATTCAGTGCGAGGTTGCTCTCGGATGGTTTAATTACGCACTCTCTCTGAGCCACTGTGCCACGGTCAACAGGAAGGTGACCCTGAACGGCCGAGATTGTCCCTTACACACAAAGGGCTCAGACAGCACGTCGGTCTACTTTTAACCGTCACTGTCCCTTCCCCTCCTGGGTAACTGAAAGGGGGGGGAATGCTCACTTCTACGGCTCTTAGGTCGTCAGTTTCACTGCGCTAGTGGAGGCAGCAGCAGAATTGGATTGGCCTTGCTAGACAGATGAATTCCCCCCCCCCACCCCTTGCTCGTCCTGCGACCCCGTTCCCTGGGAGATGACCTTTTTGCCCAGATACGTAGCCTTGAGCCTTAAATCATGCTCTTCTAATCGACTAATAATAAATCAATGTAACTGACTGAAGGGTTCTCTATTTTAGCAACAGTCGACAACCTCCCCTTTTGTTGACCCTCGCCATCTTAATAGCTGCTGCTCGACAGTTGAGCCTCCATCGCCCTTCCTTCTTTGGCTCGGCGCGGATTCCGTGTTAATTGGGGGCATCTCATCTAAGCGCCGTCAGCCTTGGAGATAATTGCGCGCCCGTGGTTGGGGGAAGGCGTTTTTCTTTTTGTCTCCACCACCACTGACGGACCCCTCGTGTACTGCGCTTGTCCTACAGATCATGGCCGAGAGGAAGAACTCCAAGGCTCTGGGCAGCGTGTCCACTTCCTCCCTGGAGAAACACGACAGCACGCCCGATGTGCCGCTTCAAGGTGAGACTCCGTCGCTGGGCAGCTCCGCAAATTAGGCAACCTCGCAGAGAATCCGTAGAATAAATACGCGGAGTCAAGTTGAAGGTGATTGAAATACAGTGTAAATTGGATATAAACAGCCCTTTAGAGTAGGCCTGCTGTGCTTTTATACGAAGTAGTGTGCTTTTATCAGAACTTACTCTTAGCCGCCACCCCCACGAGTCTTCATGTCAGCATTTGTTGGAAATTTCAGAGCTGTGCTTATAAAACATGCATATTTCCTGCCCTATGCTGTGCGTGGAATATTTATAGTTTCGTGGACGCGTGAAACCAATTACTTATTCCGAGTGCCTCATCGCCATCTCAGCTTAGATAAAATATGAAGTTCGACACAGGTGTTTTATTTGCCTTTATTACAAGCAAGGTGGATCATTTACAGTCCTAATTGGTTGACATACTACACCCAAGTAGGAAAGCCACTTATTGAGTGTGCTAATTATGGCCCACGCCTTTGGTTTGTTCAAATACCCCTCGGGGAAACATTGTCATATAATTTGCATAAGTTGAAAATGTTTGACTGTGACGTGCACAATTCATCGCATGTATGCCGAGTTAATTCAATTATAATTAATCAATGATCCATTACTTGCCCACTATTTATAGTTATAATAAAATAATGTTCGGAACGAGGACAAGCCCTCCCTTGTGTTACCGTCGTTCAACTGCATTCAAAGCACATTCATTTCCTGTGTTTAGCGCTTAAGCACACGCATGCGTGTGTACACTCGCGCCTCACTTCAGATGAACCCTTCCAAAAATATCCCCAATTGCCTGAAAAGAGATTAAATAAATCATTATTTTCAGTTTAACACATAGGCTTTCGCGATCAATATTATCCATAAGAGAATTTTTTTGGTTAGCTCGCGTAAATATATAAATGTGTCAAATCTGGCTGTCGCCTGATGAAGCTAGTTGTAATTACTGACAAAACGTCGTACTCAGATTGTAAATGTTGTGGCTTGGCTCTCCAACACACCGGTGTGCTGTACTAGTGACGAATTGGCATGTTCTGTTTATGTGACAAACCTTACTAATTGTCTATGTCGGGTGGTGGCGGGTCTAATGACACATTTATATTTACGCGATCTAACCCAAACAACCCTCTATAATGGATTGTTACTTTCAGTGCCACAGTAGTGTGCGTCCACCACAGCCACCCGAGCTGTGGAATTATCCTGGCATTGCATTTGTTCAGCACAACGCGGGCAGCTGAGCATTCAATATTGCCAACGATATGGGGGAATGCTGCTGAAGGCAGGTGGAGACATCTCAGCAGGGCAGCCTTCACCTCGGGCGGACCTTCCTCAATGTTTGTGCTGCAGCCACTGTCCACAGGTGATCGGTGGACCCCTGCAGGGGCCTGTTTGGTTTGGGCATTTAAATAAGTATAACCCGTAAAAACAAAGTTTTTCACTCTAAATCCTTTATATGCTTGGCGGCTAGAGTCTTCTCCGCCCTCTGGCTTGAGATGGTTGCCACCTATGGGTCAGATGATTGTCTGCCAGTATTAAGCAATTGGTAATTAAATATTTAATCTGTTTTCCCTAAACAGTGTAAAATTTTGGAAAAAAAATTTCACGAACATTAATTGTCTCGCACAACGAGTCTGTGTGCAAAATGTCAGCTCGATTGGATCACGGGAAGTGGGTTAAAAAACGACCGAAAGATTTGCACGGTCATGAGCAAGCAAGCAAGCACGCAAGCAAGCAAGCAAACGAACTTAATATAAAGGATTTAAAAAAAAACATTTCCCCCAATTGTATCCCCCTTGTGAATTATCTATGAAATGCTAACGGTTTTTGGATTGCGTATTCCATTTTAAATCCCCAGTCTTCTGCTCCGGAAGCAATGGTCATGAGCATAATTGATTGGGTTTGCAAAAGCATCATCAATGAGGTGTGTCCGCAGGCCAGTATTTGGATTGGTCCACTCTTGAGAGGGTGAAGCTGACTGCCTCTATGTTTTCCCTGTATGCGTCGTTTCTGCTCATTAGATTTCCCAACCCCAAAGACTGACCTGGTGCAGAAGTTCCAAGTGCAATACGTGGGCAGCCTGCCCGTGGCAAGACCGAATGGTACGTTGTCACTTGACAATATCAAGTTATTGTTGAACAAAAAAGCGCTCGTTGTGAGCCACCATGTATTTATGTACAGAACACCAGTGTCCCGTTTCTCATGTGTATAGTATCCGGATGATTATAGTTAGCAACCATCTGAAATTTAAATAAATAATTGTGTTATTAAATATAAAAGCATGAGAATAATTTACAGCCCTTGGTCAGTCCACGTCTGGATGAGGGTCCCCCTATGCAGTGTAAAACATTGCTGCGTTGGACCAAACTTCACCTCGCTAGCCAGTGTGGATTGGTGAGGGGGGTTGAGGCTCCTGGACATATGCAAATGTCACTCGCCACTGCTGTTAGCCGTGCCTGGGAATTTAAACTTGGGTTTGCCGGATTCTCGGTAGAATGCACAAATCACCGAGCCGCAGCTCGACCCCGCCGCTAGATGTATCCGCAGTCATTACTCTCGTCACACGGCGGTCGCCGGCGTGGGGGGGGGGGGGGGGGAGAAGCCCCCCTCCTCATACCACATCGCCCCTCAGCCATCAGTGTGTTTAGTTTCAGGGCTGGGTCGCAGTGATTTAGAAGTGCTTCTGCTTAAATAAGTTAGGGGTTTTTGAACCCATTTAATTCAGAGAGGCGTCGAGACAACCTCTAGGCTGGCAGCGGTGGCATTAAACGCTAAGTCACCTGCGCCAGTGCAGCCATTAAGATGGTTAAACGTTTACTCTGTTTCCAGCTACACCCACCATTACATGTGTACACGCAACCGTTATTGTTCCAAGCACCATGGGAGGCCAACATTTCGGGTTCAAGAACACTCAGATAATATTAATGATCGTGTCTTTGAAGCCACACTTTTGAGGCTGGTTGCCTATTTAATAATGTCGTTATTTATTATAAATAACGACATTTTTATTTGTAATTATCTGTAATGCACCCAATCATATCAGATCTCAGAAGCTAAGCAAAGTTGAGCCTGTGGTTAGTCCTCTTGAACAAGCAACCCCAATGCATTACAGGTTTTATTGCCCGCAGGGATTACAAAATGCACATCAGAAGGCAGTACAGCATAATCCGTTGTACTGTAATTCTTTACTTCCCATCATCTTCACCAACCCACAATGGCCAAAGTGATGAAATGTTATCAAACGGCCGGCTCGACCCGCACAGCGTGGAAAGAGGCCTTCATCCAGCAGCGGTTTGGCGGAAGGGCGGTAAATGTACGTACACTTAAAGTTAACGGGTGCAGTTAATTGGCGCACGCTATGTCCTTGGTTCCAAGCAGGCATAGATATCCTGCAGGGTGCCATCGAGAGCCTCATGTCCACCACTAACAAGGAGGACTGGACGCCCGCCGTGGTGAACGTCACGTCAGCCACGCTCACTGTGTGCCGGGAGACGGTGAGGACCGAGAGACCGGTTGGTCACAGCCGCGATGTTTATACTCGGATCTTGTGCATTAGTCGAGGCAATTTTACTTTTGCTTACACACGTGTGTGGCGCCTTTGAGGTACAAATATTCCACTCAAAGGCGCTTGGTTGGCCATCGTTTGAGCATGGAGAAGAAATGCCAAATTTTAAAGAGTCGTGTAGTATATGGGTGATTCAGCGAATGAAGTACATAAGCAATTTTAACAATTGGATGCATCTGGGAGTATCTCATGCAAAGTTCTGCAGTATTTTTGTGGACAGTGACGTAGAAGATAGCCATGATTGACGGCGTCTTTGGGAAAGGCTATTGCACTTCGAGACATATATATATTTGGGTATTTATTTAAAATGTGTCTGTGACCCTTCCGCCCTTAAATGTGGCTGATCTCGTCAAGAGGTCATCGGCCAAGCAGGGGTTGATCGCCGTTTTAAGCTCGCACGTCCGTCCGTCCGTGTGTGCGTGTGCGGCGCAGGCGGAAGAGGACGTGGTGATCGAGTGCAGGATTCGCTACCTGTCCTTCATGGGCGTGGGCAGCAACGTGCACACCTTCGCCTTCATCATGGCGGCCGGGCCGCAGCGCTTCGAGTGCCACGTGTTCTGGTGTGAGGCCAACGCCGCCACCTTCTCCGAGGCCGTGCAGGCCGCGTGCATGGTGAGCGCCGCCGCCCAACCAGGGCCCGGTAACACTTACACTTTTGCTCATGCCGTATTTTACAGAGTGTGGCGTCTGTGCGTCCCCCCGTGCGTGGTGTGTGTGTCTCTGCACGCGTTTTTCAGGCAGCGGCTGTCTCTCGGCAACTAGAGCTCGCTTTGCTCGAGTTGTATTCTTGCGTGTGTTTTAATTTAAACACTCGCTGCGACGTACATTAATTCGATCTTCCCTTTTTCCCGTTTCCCTGCCCGTGCAGCTGCGTTACCAGAAGTGTCTGGACGCTCGGCCCACGGGGGCCAAGGCCCGCATTCCACCCCCTCCTCCGTCGGAGTCGGTGGCCCGGCGTGTCGGCTGCAGTGTCAAGAGGGGGGTGCAGTCGATCCTGGGCAGCTTCAAATACAAGCGAGCGCCGCCACACGCGGCCCAGACACCCTGACTCTCCTGCCGCCCCCTGCCCTGCCGTGCTCGTTCCGCCCCAACAACCGCCACCCGCGTCGTTCGCTCCCTTTCCTTGATGGCCCGTTCTCCCGATCCCTGCCCTTTCCTGCCGCTTCCAGTCCTATCCCATGCACCCTAAAAAGTTTGGGCTGTCGGGCACGGCGTGACGTCGTGACGGCACCCCGTGTCGGTGAGTGACGTGTACTCCCCATCCAAGTTGTGTCCCCGGCAAGATGCCACTTTTGCGGACTGCGCGATGTCATTTCCACGAGACTGCTGCTGGGCTGGATTTTCTGTTCAAAGAAGGTGGATCACAGATGGCACAGCCCTGACGAACAAACACTGACCTCATGGACGGTACAAACTGGTTTTGAATCGTAGCCACACTGCGATGGAGCCTTGACTGCACAGGTTGGTTCAGAGGAAGTTTCAATCACTTTTCACAAAACAAACAAACTAAAAACACTACATTCTGGCAGAATGGCTGTTAACGTTTGCCGTTTTTTTTTTTGTCCTTCAATTTCCTACACAAAGCTCATCTTGCTGCCTAATTTTATTCAGAATTTGCTGCTGATATGACTGTAAAGTTCTCTCCACGGAAGCGCCGTAATGCGTCGACGGTTTGTGCAGATGCTGTGGGTTGCCCGTGCGCCAGTGCCGAGAGGGGGTTGGCGTGCCGTTGAGCGGCGTGCGAGAGCGGGGCGAGCTTCGGCGCGCGCAGCCCGTGCCGGGGCAGCGTGGAACCGCTTTTTGTGTTTAGTTCGTTGTCCTCCCCCCCCCCGTACCTCCCATTTAGCACGGTTGTCTACGTACGGTGCGAAAGAAGTTGAACGTACGTACGAGAGGAGGGGCCGTCCCGCACGTCGAATCGCGTCGCATTTGTAACGTCGTCAACACTACGTGTCGCAACTGCACTTTTCTGTGTGTCGAGTAATGCACAGTGTGTGTGATGTTAGGATGTAGGACACTGCAGAGCACTTGACTCCAATGCTCTGCACAGTCGCTCGTGGGTTTTGTTAACGTTTAATGAGTATCATTTCAATTATGCTTTTATATGAAAAAGTGAAAGGATTTTAGCGAGGGCTGGGAGAGGTTGTCTGGTTCTGTACTTTTACGTTGGTAAAACTGACGCGCAAGTAAAACAAAAATGCAAGGGGTCTCTGAGTATGTGGAGATCAGACATTTGTACATCTTCCAACAAACTGGTCAGAAAAAAAACAACTGTCTGGATGAAGGCTGACCAGCACAAACATGTGACCATTTTCTTCGACTCGGATTAACATTTTAAGTAATTTTTCAGTGTTTAAAATTTTACAGTTGATGCCGGTGCCCTGTCAGGACGTCATTCCGTTGACAGAACGTGTAGTTGCAGTTGGGTTGCATCACAACCTCGCTGTCTTTGTTCACTCGGACGTGTACCTCGGGCTGCTGCAGTAATGTTCGGAGGGTGGGCCCGCTGGCCTCTGCAGTAACCCCCCCTTCCCCCCCCCGGTGCTTTTACCGCAGAATAACAACGGCTGGTTCGTGCGTCGTGCGCTCGGTAACCTCGCTCGCAGCGAGAGGTTATCGTGCGGATCAAAGGACCACTGGTATACAGTTAAATAATTTACTTTAATTACAATTAGTAACCACTTTTATTTTTCTTGTCTCGTTTTACCCAGCAGTATATTGATGCCGAATTATATTATTTGAAGCCTGTTATATCAAACTTAGGACAATTCCGTTTTGTCACGATTTTCCTGCAGTATTTGATTTGTCGAAGCACACTATATCTCGGGCGCGACGACACCACACGCCGCATGCGCACTCGTAGGCGGCCTCGTTGGGTGCGTTGACAGTGCTAATGTGCTGCATGGTATAGCCGCCTTTGTTTTAGGCAAGTGTGTTGAGCACACGCATGGCTGCTCATATCCATGCCTTTGTGAGTTGGCGGTGGCTTCTGGTGACTGTGTGTGTGTGTGCGTGGGTCGCTAGCGCATTATCTACTTCCCGCAAACAACCGCTGTTTGTGCAAAGCAAGTGGGGACTTGCAGCTTCACAGCTCGTCCCAATTGGCCTAAACCTCAAGGATGAAGCAATTTTTACTGCGGTTAGAAGTTAGTGTTTGTCAGGCGGAGGGAAGTCGCAAAGAAAATGTTTTTTTTGTTGCTGCTTGCTCAAAACCGCGAAGTACTGTGGCGCCTGCCGAAATGCGGCAGTATTTGTGGCGGTTAGAAGGGAAAAAGGTGGTTGTTCAATTCACTCATCTTGTTGCTGTTGTCCCATTTGCCATTTGACTGCGGTTAGTTTTTCTTGAGCTGAACACGAATGGATGATTTTTTTGTTGTGTTTCCCCCCCTGTAAATAATGTGTACGTAAAAAAGTAGACCAGTTTGGTGCTGTTACATTGTCTTGGTCCATATGATAGTGGGCTCTTGCCGTTATACTAATTGTAAAGATTACTCAGAATGCTCACATGACATTAAAAAATAAATCTGTAGTTAATATATTGTCAAAGCGACAGGCTTAATATTTAGTCGGTGAGTTTGTGAATACTTAGCGATTCATTCATACGCGCGCAGGTGTACACAAATGCGAGCACGCGCACACACGCATCAGCAAAGCAGCCATCTGTGTAAAAGCCTGACGTTAATTACGTGAGTGGTGTTAATGTGCTTTCGACACATCGCACGGTTACGGCAGTCGAGACCCCTACGTAATGAGATGCTCACATTCGCTACAAGTACAATCATTCCGGTCTGTCGTCGGTCGCACGCTGTCGAGTTCCACAGTGTAGGATTACCGTGCGGGTTTAGAACCGTTTAGACTCCCGTTCCCATGACCAGCCAGGATCTATGAACGTGGCCTCTCTGCAACGAGGCCTGGAAAGCCGTGGCACGGGGCCAGCATGCTGCATGTGCATTGCCAATCCCTGGGCAGGGCAACTGTGTAAATGCGTTTTTATTTGTGATTTGATTCATGTGTCGTGCCAAACTTTGAAGGATTGGAAAGGACGAATGGGAGTTCCTTAATGTGCGGATTTCTCGTCAGAACGCTGCGCTTTATGAGCTCCTGTTTGTGTTTTTCACTTGAGGAACTTTTCGTTATTTATTTGTTGATTTGCCGTTCTGCCGTCGTGAAAGATCTTGGGGTTGTCGCACTGCTGAGCTCGGCAGTTCATTCAAACTGGTTGGTTGTGGAAAGGTGAATCCGCTTGTTCATTATGAATGTGATATTTTATTTTTTACATAATTATTTATTATTTTACTATATTTTATATTGAAACTCTGGAAAAAGAGCCAAAAAAATGTTCAATTTAGAAAAGCTTATGTTGAATTATAAACCACGTGGTAGGACTTGCTTGTGTAAGCTTCCTATGCATTTAGCGCTTTGCGTGTGATAAATCAACAGCTCGCTGTGCCGTATAGTTTGAAAGCCGCTGTAATTCCGAATATATAAAGATAAATATATATGTAAACATATTACAGTTCACAGGTATAAATAGCCCGCATGCATCGCGAGGCATTCCCCTGGGGCAGAGGGAAAGGCTGTTTGTGGAGATGTGTCCTTTGGCCGGCGAGTGCCATGCAAGAGCGGTCATTAAATTTGCTCCAGTGCTGATTTCCAACACATGAGTGGGGGGGGGGGGGGTCCTTGGGGGGCAAGGCAGGTGAACCGGACATTGCATCTGATCACCTGTTCTTTAGCCTTCGTCATCCCAACGGGCAAGGCTCGTGTCACACGGAGGAGAGTTTTAAAGCCACGGCTCGTGGCATGAGGACGCTGGCCACGCGATGCCATCAGCATGGCCGGTGCCACCTGTGACCCAGCAGTGTCCGTCGACGAGGGGGTCGGGGCTCTGTTGACCTCCCCAGCAGCCTCGCTCCAGAACGCTTCTGCCGCTGCTTGCAGAGTTGTGGCCATTTGCTTGCTGTGCTCCTATTATTCCGGGACACTTCCCCCCCCCCCCCCCAACCTTGCCCTCTGTTCAGATCTTGCCATGGGAATGGCTTTTCTGTGTGTGGAGAGGACTTTGAAAACGACATCTTTGAGGATCGACAGCCGTGCGCGGGTGTTCTGTGAAAGTGTTTATTTTTGAATTGGAGACGCGGGGCCCCGTGGAAAAACAATGCACGTTCGAGCGTGGTCAATCTCACGGTCGCGACGTGCGTGTTGCTTTCTGTCACGAGCGGGGGGGGGGGGGGGCCCTCTTTGTGTAGTCATCGGAGCCGATGCATATTTAAAGAGAGCGACGGAGAATGGGACTGCGACCGAGAGCGAGAGAGAGAAGCGTTGCCGCGTTTAGCTTCCCCTTCCTGCTCAGGCTGGGCATGGCCTCTGTGTGCACACGCCTCGTTATCTGTACGTGACAGTGTTAAAGATGTACGTGTAATCTATCGTATACATGAAATAAAATACTTTTAATCAACACGGCTGAGGTTTCGCCCCCCCCCCCCCCCCCCCACCCCACCATTGCTTTTCATCGTTTACCGCGCAACGGGTCGGGTGTGCGTATCAGCATTGATGTATTTGCTGCCGATCTTTGTTTTTTTTTATTAATCGATGGGCCATGTCCTGCTTTCTGTAGGGCAGCGCATGAATTATAAAGAAAGCCGGCTCAACTTAACGGGCGTGGCGGCCGGCTGATGAGAAACACGTGTCCACCACGACGAACTGCCAAGCGGCGTTGATTAAGCTGTCCCCCAGGTGCCTTGGTGAACCGCCACATCCCAGCGCGATAGCGTCCTTGCGTGCTAGCCGCGTGTCCTATTCGGGCACGCTTTTTGTGTGTGTCGGGGTGCCCTACTTGGTGCACGCCAAACTGCGCCCTCTTCTTTTTAGAGACGGGAAAAGGTTCGTCTCGCACAACCTGGGCCACAACTTTTGAGATGTCGCCACTTTTTTTGGTCCCATCCTCCACCCATCCCCGCCCCGTCGTCGCATGCGTGACAGCCCCCCCCCCCCCCCCCCTGCAGACTCCGCATGCGTGACAGGACGTTATTAGCGAAGCGAATGGAGGATTCCTCATGGTGCTTCAACAGTGTGCGGTCTCGTGCACGCTCTAAAAGTAGACAGAAACCAACAGGACCGCGCGCTGCGTCTGAATTACAATTTTGTAACCGAGTTGGCGATCATCACCCGAGGTGGTGGCGCCATGAGAATCAAACAATGGCCCCAGTAATTAAAATACGATCGTTTCAGAATTGGTGGCATTACACAATACACGTTCTTTTTTAATATTGCCTTATGCCGCCGAAGAACGTGTCAATAATAGCCACTGGTTGAAAGATTGTTCCCATTTCATTTTGAAATAATCGGCAAGTGCAATTCAGTCAGCCCTCGTACGTAGATGTGCACTGCAAAGCATTAAGCGTGCATTATTATAACTGCTTCAAGTTAACAAACCTCTCGGATAGCGATTTTAATGTTAAACCCCATTGTGTATTGTCACAGACTTTTGGGATTTTGACGTTACGCACGTAGACGTGAGCGTTACCGTCTTGCTCGTCGTAGAAATGTGAGATGTTAAACATTACGAGCAGTGGTTCTTCTTAACCTGGGGTGCACGCACCCACCCCCAGGGGGTACGAGACATGGCCAGGTTTTATTAGAAGGTAAATAAACGAAACAAATTAAACACGTGCACGCAAGTACAACTACTCTGGTTCATCAAACCTATGTATCAACATGAAAAAATACGAGTGCAGTAAAGGTTAAGAACCACTACTTTAAGAGCATTCGCCCTGGATTTGACTCCTGTGTCACCATTCATGTGTCACCATTCCCACCCAGGCGCAGCTCGCAACCGTCCATGCCCCTTGCCTCAAACCTGCCCCTTGGTGCCAGCTTCTGCTCTATTGACCGTCGGCTCCATCGGCTCCATCCTCGGTGTCATCACTCAAGTTGGTTACTCTTGAACGCCGATGCATGGATAGTTGGGAGAATAGCTCTACACGTGAGAGACAGGATCCCACCGTGCCACCTATGATTCCCTCATCCAAATTTCATCTTCTCGTCCGAGGTGGCAATCGTCTGTCAGTCGGTCAAACCTCTCTGCCACCAAACTGTCTGTGACCACCAATGTCCCCCCCACCCCACCAACCACCACAAGCATTTCAGAGCTGGGGCCAATTCTGCTGGCTTGTTCCTCTGCCTTGGGCAGTTTTCCCACGAGCGAACCGAGTGGCGAAAACTGGGGTTCGCGAAGGTTCAAACGCCGGAGAGAATCCAAGGGCGAAACTGGCGGCGGCGGTGTTGCTGTTGGTGGCGATGGGTGGGAGGCCGCGCCCAGACTGGGCAGGGAATCCCCCGGTTCCGGGGAAAGAGATGCATACGCTGGGCAGCAGCAGCTGCTTGGGCCTCACGGCCTCCCTCGCCAACTCCCCTCTGTTTCTCCCCGCCGCCTCCTCCTCTGCATCTTGCGCCCCTCCTCTCTCTCGCCTGGGCCACATTGCCCTCAGCATCCCTGGCAGGGGACCCGTCCGCACGGGCGGCCTCGTCGGTGGCTTGGCCGCCACCGTTGCCGCTGCCGGATATTGAGCCGAACTCTGGCCCGCAGTCCCGTTGGCTGTCACCCCATTGGCCGCTTGCGCGGTGAGGACCCCGCGGCTCGTGGTCAGCAGCGAGCTGCCGAAACTTCTGGCTTTGGCGGCGCCGTTGGAAACCTTGGCGGCTCTCTTCGCCACCGTGTCGCTGCGCTTGGTGGGAGTTTTCGGTCCCCTGGGTCGTCTGGTCTTGGTCTTTTTGATCCGTTCCCCCAGTAAGCCTTTGCTGGATGCCCGAGCGAGGATCTCCTTTGCAGTGAGAGATTCCGAGGGATCCTGTATAGACACACACACACACACATAAAGATCCTCCTCATGGACTTATTTAGTGTTGAGGCTGGTGCTGTTAACGAGCACCTGTTAAGGTTGACAGTTGACGAGGGGGCTGCACGGCCAACGCACATTTTACGAGGTTTGAAATGGAATTAAAATTCAACGAGGTACATTTTACAAGCGGTACGATGTACGGCTCATCCTCCCCGGTGCTAGGATCAATGACATCGGCTCGTGTGCAGAAGCTCGATGTGGGTCGTTGCGTCTCTGATGAAACATCAGAGACGGCGACGGCTTGGGCAGACATTCGTCGAATATGGGTTTATTTCATTGCCGACTGATAATGATAACGGTAAGATATGGTTCAAAACCACAATTTGGACTCCCAATGGATATGAGTACCAGCCCATGATTAGTTCCAAATGGGAGCAGGACTTACGAAACTAAACTCTTTATTTTACCAGGTAAGGCCCTCTGAGCTATAAAGCTCTTTCAGAAACGATCTGGCCACAAATGACAGCTCAACGAAGTCGCTTAACATTTGGAAATCTCTCAGCAGCCAAATACTCTAAACGCGTGATGTCGATTCGAAAAATACACGTGACCACGGGGGAAAACACGCAAACTCCACATATACAGCAGCAGGCGTCAGGGTCGGGATCGAACTCAAGCCCTCCTGCGTACCAGGCGAGGTAGTTAACATCTCCTAGCCCCCGTTAGGGATGGCATAGGGGCCACTGTTGCTTTTGAGCCGAGTGACCGCCTCACCTCTCTCCTCAGCACGGCCAAGAAGCCACCGCTGAGCGAGTCGGACGGCGCGAAGCTCAGGAACGCGGCGTCTCCCGCAGGACCCTCCCGCTCCTCCGGGAGCCGCACGGGCGAGGGCGCGACCCTGCGTGGTGGGCGAGGGGGTCACGCGCGGAGGCCGTGAGCGGTCGTGCGACTGCGTGACCGCGTACGGGACTTTTACGACGACGCTAAAACGGCTTTGTGTGTTTAGTTTGTTGTCCTCCCTCCGCACCTGCGATTAGCGCGGTTGGCGACATGCGGCGTCAAAGAAGTTCAACGTAACACACACACGCCTGGTCATGGTTGGTGCTGGTGGCGGTGGCAGTGAGGGCATTGGTGGTGGTGGTAACGTGGCTGGTGATGGCGGTGCTGAGACGGTAATGGAGATGGTGGTGCTGGTGGTGCTGGTGGTGCTGGTGGTGCTGGTGGTGCTGGTGGTGGTGGTGCTGCTGGTGGTGCTGCTGGTGGTGTTGGTGGTGGTAGTGCTGGTGGTGGTGCTGGTGCTGGTGGTGGTGCTGGTGCTGGTAGTGCTGGTGGTGCTGGTAGTGGTGTTGGTGGTGGCAACGATTAGAGAGTGGCGGGGTGGCACGAGCGATCGTGCAGAAAACGCGCTGCACCTGAACGGAGCGACTTTGGCGACGGCGACGCCACCGTTGTGCTGTCGCGACAGCGCGGCGCTCACGACGGCCTCGTTCTCGCGTGCGTGCAGCGAGCACGTGCTGTACACCACGGCCTGCACTCGGGGGACTGCGCGCACCGGGAGCACGCGCACACACGAGCACGCACGCGCCTTGAGCGCCCGCGCCAAGACGACGGACGAGCCGCCCGAGCGAACGGTCGCGGCAAACGACCGAGCAACTGCCGCACGCGCCGCTGGGAGAACGGGAATTGTCCGTGGGGGCGATGCCCTTCGTCCAGCAGTGGATCGATCACGGCTGCTGTTGATGCTGACGGCGACGGGCCATTGTGGCGCGGTGGCGAGCGGAAGCGTTTAACACGTGATGGGGTTTTTTAAATGCGATCGAATCCACATTTTTTTTTACATCGATTATGGGCAGAGTACTCGGCCTGCCATCGGAGGGCTGTGAGCTGAAATCCGAACTGGGTGGTTGATTTGACCCATCATCCCCGCTGGGGCGGTAAAACAGGTACCACCTTGAAGGAAATTTATTTTGGTTCTCTGGAGGGACTAGCCCCCGTCATTCTAATATAGAAAAATGTTTACTGCTGTGCAACAGTCATAAATGAAGATGCTGTGATCGTTGGAGTGGAGAAACATGGGTTTGACTTCGATGATTACTAACAAAAACGTCTGTAACTATGGAGCCCGTAATACAGCAGTGGAGTAATCGTGGATGATGCCAACAATGAATCTCGGTGTATATAAAAACTAAAGTTTAAATAGTTGAATTGTGGTTTGGGGTGCTCAAAGAAAAAATAAGAATTTATTAAAAAATACAATTTCCCTGCCACGGTTATTAGTGATACAACTGTTGTGGAACACAGGCAATCAATTTTGTACCTTTTTTGCAAGTATCAAATTATGAAAAATAGGAATAGGTTTTAACCTTTCTGGCAATAAAACAGGAGGTGTTAGGACGTTCAAGCACCAAACAGAAACATTTTTGCAAGGAATCAAGTCTGCATTAACCACACGTGCTTGTGGTGAACATGCAAACAAAGAACATGCTCGGATAATATATGCTTTGTAGATAATATATGCATATACAATGCAAATAGATTTTTCTCAGATAAAAAAAACCATGGTCATTATCAGAGCATGTTTTTTGTTTGAATGCTCACCACAAGTACACGTCGTGAATGCAGACATGGTTCTTTGCAAGATGTTTCTATTTGGTGTTTAAACATCTTAACACCTGCTTTATTGCCAGAAAGGAGTAAAACCTCTTCTTGTTTTTATCACGCAGGCAGTCCATCCGTGTGCTCATCACCGGGGACTCGACGCGAACTCATTCCAGTGCCCTCAGTCCTGTTCCGAAAACACGAGGCCAACTTGATTTGAAGCTGTCGTGACTGCAGAAATCCATACTCTTTGGTTCTTTCGGTAAAGTCACGTAGGTAGAAATAAAATAAAATAAATCACGACGTTTCGGGCGCAACACAAGCATCCTCAGGTGGGAAAGCGTGGTCTGCTGCTGAGGCAGACTTTTAATAGGTTTGAAATGGGTGTAGCTCAAGGGTCATAAAAAAAGTGTCCGGGGCTAGTGATTAGGGATTAGCATGATGTTAACACATTAACATGCTAATCTCTCACATTAACATAGCCACTCCCGTGCCCTCGTCGAGGAGGTCGCTCTCCTATCTTACAGCTACATGCTAATTTCTCACATTAACATCACTAGCCCCGGCCACTTCTTTATGACCCTTGAGCTACACCCATTTCAAACCTTTTAAAACAGTCTGCTGCTGAGGCAGGCCACGCTTTCCCACCGGAGTACGCTTGTGTTGCGCCCGAAACGTCGTGATTTATTTTATACCTACGTGACTTTACCGAAAAAACCAAAGAGTACGAGGCCAACTAAAAGACAAACCTGCTCTCCTTCCTGCTGCTGCTGCTGCTCTCACGCGGACCTCTCTGATGAGAGCAGCTCACTCGCTTTAGAGTGGACCGCGGAAACAAAAATATTCAGCCCTAAAAAAATAAAGCGTGTCACCTCCCCCCCATCCCTCCCGCATCGGTTCAGGGGCGTGCGTTTGTTCACAAGCAAAGCAATTCCTGAGCACGGTGGCAGGAGGAAGCCCTGCCAGGGTAGCTGTGATGGGGCGCCCCGTTGGGGAGCTGTTAACTACCTCTGCTTGAGGTCGTGGCTTCGATCCCGACCCTGACGACGCCTGCTGTGTGTTTGGAGTTTGCACGTTCTCCCCGTGGTCACGCGTCTAGAGTAGTTGGCCGCTGTACACTTCCAAATGCTAAGCCACTTCGCCGAGTTATCATTTATGGCCAGGTCGTTTCTCAGTGGGCCTTACCTGGTTGTTAAACAATAATAATAGTTGCTCGGCTCTTCTTGTGCGGGGGGTGGACCTGGCTTCGAGAAAGAGCAGCGCGACATCGGGCACCGTTTGTGCGCAAGAGGACAGCCGCTCATTTGCCCAATGCCAAAGACGACGCGCGAGCACCTTGCTAACAACGACGTGTGACGATTCAGCCCCAACGATGAGTTGTCACGATTTATGGTTTCGATTGATGTGTGGCCCACTGCTGGATGAAGGTTTCCCCAGCGCCGTGCCGGTTGTTTGACTTTCTCGTCGGTCAGTGCGGGTTGGTGGAGGGAGGGGGCCGACCAAATCCGGTTCGTCACCGTTGTTAGCCGTGGCCAGGAATCAAACTCGGGTCGCCGGGTCGAGGCGCAGCGCACTCAACCACTGCACCATCAATCGCTCCACCCCGTGTACGATCGCACAGGTCGCAAATCGTCAGTTACGAAAACACCCAATTCGATCCGCTTATCGTGAGCTTAATCGATATTAACCAATGGAGCGTTACGCTCCAAATGAGAAACCCTGCGCCTTTGCAGATGGGACGTGGATTCGTGCGTCGAGACTGGAGGTGATTTGTCACGCAAATCACCTGCTTGGGTAAAACCACACTGCAACATTGCACCGTAGTTACTGGCTTCGTTTTACGTTTATATCCGGGATAGCATTGCACCAGTGTAAGAATGGCATAGATTTCAAATGTACAATTATAATTTTTTGGCACGAACCCTTTAACCTCTCTCCCCCCCCCCCCCGAGGCGGCTGCACCCCCACCCACGCCGGGCCCCCGCGCCGCTGTTCACTGGGCAAGGAAGTCTCGACACGAACAGCACGCTGGAGCGCCCTCCACGGCCGCCCTTTATCGCACGTCCCTTTGAAGCGAGTGTTGAGTCAGGCGGCCTGGGCAAACTGTGCCGTGGCTCCGATGGTCTCTCTCCCCCCCCCCCCCCTCGACTTTATATTGCTTTTTTTGCACATGACCGTTCGGAGAAGGTTAAACGTTTACGGGGAGAAGTATGAAAGCGCGCAAATGCCGTTGTTTGTTTTTCCCCTCCGCGGTCGCCTCTTCGTGGGCACGTCGGCGCAGACACGAAGGCGAAAGTGCCTTGAGAATTCACGGAGCCTCGAGCTCATTCTCTGCGTGGCATTCCTTCTTAGACATTGGGGGGGGAGGGGGGGGGGCTCCGTTCTGTCGCAGCCACCTCCAGACTTTACAGAGCACCAGACCGTGGACTGATGCCCAGTCCGCCGTTCTCAATATTGACCCAAGACGTGTTCTCACGAGGGCCCCTGCTGCCATTTGACAATTTGAAAATTCCACGACCGAATGAATTGGTTTCACGTGGGAGGAAGCCGGAGTGCTCTGAGACACTCGTAGGAGGGGGGGGGGGGGTGATGCTCCACGCTGCCAGCTCCTGGCCGCACCTCGCGGCCCCAACACAACGCCTGGCAAGCCCTGGGCGGTCACCCATCCTGGGTACTAACCAAGCTCACGCCTGCTTAGCTTCCGAGATGTATGTACTGTATGTTTGTATGTATGTTGAAATTCTTTCGCACCGTACGTAGCCAACCGTGCTTATCGGAGGTGCGGGGGAAGGACAACAAATCAAACACAAAAAGCAGTTCTACTGTAATTGCTTTCAGGGTGACTTGGTCGTTTGGCAGTGTCCAGTAAACATGCAACGCTGGGCCACCGGTGAGCCACCGGTTCCAACAATGTGACAACACTGACCCAACGTTGCACGCTCACTGGAGCGTCCGCACCCCAGTCATCCGCGACTTAACAGCGCAAGCGGAGCCGGTCTTCACGAGATGTGCGCCGTGCCCCCACCCCCCACCGCCCGTGGCCGTGTGGCCGGGCTACGCACATCGCATCGCATGAGACAGAAGCTCCGTCTGCCGCGCCGACAGCTCCGCGAGCTGCTCCTCCTCTTCCTCCGCGCTCGCGGCGTCGCGCAGGAGGCTCAGGTCTGGCGACGCAACAGGTCACAGGCAGGGGTCAGCAGCAAAGTTCAGAGGCAAGGGCAGGGAAACTTGTAACATTTCACCCCCAACTCTCCAACGCCCCCCGCGCCATCGATTAGATCAATTTTCACAATTCCAGGTCACATTTGCATTCCATAATAATGTTTTTGTTCTTCGCACCGTACGTAGCCAACCGTGCTAATCGGAGGTGCCAGGGAAGGACAACAAACTAAACGCAAAAAAAATAGTTTTCAATTGAGATGATTTAAAAGTGCATAACTCCCGGTGGCTTCCTAATATCGGAAGGAAGAGCGTTCCAGACGGCCCTAGAAGCGCACCTGATAGCCTGACGTTAACGTCACGTTAACGTCACGTTAACATGACGTTAACGTCACGTTAACATGACGTTAACGTGACGGCGTCCATTGTTTTACTCATGGCAGCAGTCTTGGAGTTGGTCCGCAAGGGGTTCCGCGCACGCACGCGGGGAGGCGAGCGACGCTCACTCACCCGCTCCCTCGCCGAGGACCAGTTCCACGGGGTCGTTGAACCCCGAGGCGGAGCACGGAGCGGTCAGCAGGATGACCCGCACCCTCTGAAGCCGGGAGTCGCCGGGCTGCAGGTCCAGGAAGGCCTCCGGTAGAAACTTGATGTCTGCCGCAGCATCGTGAGCGTGGGCACGCGTGACAGCGGCGTCAGTGTGGGGCTTTAAGGTCGCGCGCAGTGGTGACGACGCACCGCACGTAGGACGGTCGTTCTAAGTACGGTGCTGAAGAAGTTCAACGAGTGTCCGTACATACACGAGTGGGGTAAATGCACCCGAGGTGTGGCGGTTGGCAACCATCGCTTGTGATTCGGTGAAATGCCACGATTCAATGTCGCGTTTTAAGATAATTTTTTGTTTTACATCGCAGTTAACGTAGTGGCCTCTCGTGGCCGGAGGGGTCGACTCGTGCCCCTGACGCGGTGCCAGACGCACCAAGTCCCCCACGTGCGACGGTCGAAGGACCTATTGGGGAGCTTAAGAATTTCTACTGATCGTAATTTCGATGCACATTTCCCCCCCCCCCCCACCCTCCCCCCCCAATAACACACACACACACACACCACAATCGTTCGCATTTACTCTGAACGCTATGGCAACAGCCATCCGCCTACACGCACGCATGCACACACGCACGTTGAACCGAACGTAGCCGACCGTGCCAATTGGAAGTGTGGCGAGGACTCACTGTCGGCCGTCGTTCCCCGCGGCGGTGGCGGCTGCCGACCGGCGCCCCCTCCCAGAGCCGCGCACACCAGCACGCGGCAGCCGGCGGCGGCCCCACCGCCGCTGACGCTGTTGGTGGCGTTGGCGTTGGCGGTGGTGATCGTGGTGGGGACGGTGCCACCGCCGTCGCCCGGAGACTGACGCCGCGCGGCGAGGAGCGAGGCGACGTGCAGGCCCGCGACCCCTGACCCGACCCCCACGACCGCGACGTCGCCCTCCTCCCCGAGAAGCCGCACGGCGGCGTGAGGCCCCACGCAGCGCGACTTGTCCTGCGGCGCGAGATGGAGACGTTTTTAAAAGCGGTGGGCGCGGTCGCTTCTTCCGCGCTAAATGCGGACTCCACCACTGGGTGATTATTCCCCGAAGGGTGACGTCGCGCACACCCACCTGGAACACGAGCGCGGATCGCTCTGCGATGTCGGAGTCGAGCAGCTCGCTCCGCCGCTGGCCCGGGAAGACGAGGAGGTCGGCGAGCTGCCGGTCCCGAGAGAACACTCGGTCCTGCCGATCCCCGAGGCTCTCCACTTGGGAGAAGCCCAGGTCGCACAGGGCCCTCTGCACTTCCTCTTCACTGCACGGCACGGTGGCGCAGGTGCACGGTTGGGACACGGGAGCACCGGTCCCAGAGCGTTCTCTCTCGGGCTGAATGCACGGAGCGTCTGAATGCAGCCGTGCCGCAGGAGGCGACGCACGATATTTGGATGCGCAACGAGCCTCGATCAAGGAAGGAATCGCGCCAGTCATCACGGCTGTGGCTGAGTGTCGCGGGCAACTCCTCTGAATTGTCGCGATAACCCGAATGTAAAGTCCTAACCTCAACGTCCACTCGAACGTCACGGCCTTGGCACACCAAACCCCAGGCCTGACACATCCCCTGACCGAATGTTAGAGCGACGTGTCCGTGCGAAGTGCGTAGCGGCATCACAAGCAACGTCGATCAATTTTTACGAGCAATTCTCAACTCTCCCCGCGTCGCGAGGATATTCTCTTCCCCGCGACAAGCCCTGCCTCAGGAGGTGACGACCGAGCCAGCGCGGCGGGAGCCTCACCTCGAGCGCGTGCCGTCGACCCAGGCGTAGAGGGGAGCGGCGCCGGCGCGCCTCTCCCGGCGCAGCAGCGGCTCCGGCAGCACCGAGTCGAGCGAGAGGGCTCCACGGCGGATGCGGCCCCGGGCCAGCGACGCACGCAGCCGCGTCCTGAACCTGCGGCGAGTGACAGGGCGACCGTGGGACAGGGCGACCGCCGTGCATGTGCAACGGGTGCTATAGGCTGCTGCTGCTGCTGCGTTGTCAGCAGAGGGCAGGCCAACAACATCCGTTGTTGTGCCCTCCTGCGGTGGTGCGACTACTTTGCTCTCCGCCTTCACCCACCTGAACTGAAGCGCGTGGCGAAGTACGCCTTAAAGTAGCCTACACAGGAACGTGCCAGTTCGTCGACGGTGGACTGACAAAGGGCTCTACGTCTGCACAAAACATAAACACTCACAATCGGCTAATGTGTTGGACAACGGCTGGTATTGCATGGCCGTTCAAGGTTTGACTCCAATAAATACTTTCCTGTTACGAGCCTATGTTAGTGAACAAGCCCCTGCTGGACATTTGTGAGAAAGAGCTTCACGGCTGATCGGATTTCTCCAGGAAAAATAAAACAAGGATTCCGATTCTGAGAGTTATTTGAATTTGCCTTTGTGCACTGTTGCCAATGCAGTCCATACATTTTATTCGCGTTCAAGGCGTTGTCGGTTTGCAGTTTACTCACGAGAAGAGCGCGCCATCAACTTCGCGCACATCATCGTGAACTCCGTCGCCACCGCAGCCGTCGCCTTCTTGGCGACTCCGGGCCTCCCCGCTCGCCCCGCGGCCCCCTCCACTCGTCGCTTCGCGTCCCTCCTCCTTGTCCCGGGGCTCGAACCCGCGCCGCTGCAGGTCCCAGAATAGGACCACGGCGAGGGGAAGCAGATCGTCCGGCTGGCGAGGCGACACACGAACACGTTCCAGAGGCGGCCCTCGGTCACTGCGCCGGCCCGATCTGCCCGGCCGCCGGGCCCGGTGAGATCCGTCGCGCCGCGCGCCACGTTACAGCCGTGGCGCTCCTGCGAGGCTCTGACCGTGGGTGAGCTGGCGTCTCTCTCTCTCTCGGCATCACTCGGCGCCCTCCGCTCAATAACCGTGCCCACCCCGCGCGAGACTGGCACACTCGCTCGTTCTGACTATGGCCTCGCCTGCTGCTCACCGTCCACTCCCCTGCCTGCCCTCCCGCTCGAGTAGCAACCTCCTTCTCCCGCATATAGCGAGGCCATGCAAATATCGAAGCGGGACGAAATCTCGACGTTCGAAAATGCCTCGGGATGCTGGGAGCGGCCATATGCCCGAAAACCCCGACTGTGCCGGCGAAAGACCAGGAGCTCTGGCAGCTGTTACGTGCGCTGGGTGCGGCGCTCGGGGGCTCTACTCACGATGAGCTGCGCCGAGTAGAAGCCGCTCTCCACCAGGACGCCTTCGATGAGCGTCTGATCTGCAAAAGAGACACAACGCGCGCGACTCTGAACGTCGCGGGCAGGAGGCGGCGGCCAGAGTCGGGTCGCGGTGGCCGCATCGCCTGGCGAGTGTGCAGGCGGTGCAACTGCCGCGGGGGCCCACGGGCCGGGGAGCCCCAAGGCGTCAGATGACGAAGAAGGGGGTGGGAGGATTTGGACAGGGGGCTCCCCCCCCCCCCAAATTTAAGTCGCGTTCCGACCACACTGCGCCTCTTGACCCGACGCTTAGGCGGGTTAGGGTTGGTCACTATAAAGTATAAAACTCGCACGGATTCGCAAAACTCCCAAACGCCCTTGGGCTGCAGCGATGTGGGTTAACGGATGGCAGCACAGCAAGTTGATTCCCAACTCAGCCGTGCGGACCTTTGAGTGTTATGCCTTCCTATGCTTGACATTTCTCTAGATATTTACAATATCCTGCCACATGCAACACAACTTTTCGTTAAAAGAGGAATTTTACAAACAACCCAATGCACGCCATCCCCTAACCAAGTGTCAGCTCAGCTGTAGAGCACTCGTGAAATAAACGGAAAGTTACATTTGTATTATTAGTGGGCAGATTCACAAACTGGACAACCTCACAGTAGCAAAAATGTCTCAAAGTTCACAGATACATACTCGTGGGGATGCTATTTTTAACGGTAATTATCTAAATCTTAAGAAAATATTCCAAATCAATGCGCTGTACTGTACCTAATGAATGAATTCATGGCTACGTCAGTGGTTTGAGACAAACACGATGAACACGAACGCAGCGGCCATCATCATCCCAGCCCGAGAGATTTAAACTCAATTCTTTGAGAACAACTTTTTGTGTCTTAGTTTGTTGTCCTTTCCCGCGCCTCCGATTAGTGGGGTTGGCTATGTACGGTGCGAAAGAATTTAAACAAAGATAGAGTGGCGAGATGTTAACTACCTCGCCTGGTATACAAGGAGGTCGTGGGTTCAATCGCGACCCTGACGCCTGCTGTATATTTGGAGTTTGCGTGTCTCTCTCCCCGTGGTTGCGTGAATTTTTCTCCGGGTCCTCTGGTTTTCCCCTCCACATTTAGAATCAACATCACGCGTTTAGAGCATTTGACTAACACATTTCCAAGTGATGATGATACGCTACTTCGTTGAGCTATCCTTTGTGATGGCTAGGTCGCTTCTAAAAAAAAAGGAGCACGTCCCAGTGACAGCCCTTGAGAGTGCACACACTCTGCCAAAGTTTTAAAAAGACGCAAGCCAAGTCGCGATTTCGCGAACGATTAACTCGCGCCTTTCAAGCGATGGGAAGCTACATCTGACGACGATGACGATGTCTGTGCAGCTGCCCTCTTTCCATTGTCCAGCTTGCAGCTTTGCACAGTCGATCCACACACGCGAAGGCCACAGTCCGTTTACTTGGAAACACGCGAAGAGTCACCACCCCCCCCCCCCCCGTGTGTGGAGCACGTGACTCATCCCGACACCACGCCGCAGTCCACAAGAGGCCCTGCTCATTGATCCGCCGTTGGATGACGAAACGCAAAACGCACGAGGGTCTCCTGACCGAGCACACCCTTGAGAGTTTCCGTGGGGTAACAACGTTCCGAGTTTAAAATCTGCGTGTGATCACCGCTGCCAAAGACGGCGGCCACCGCATCGCTTTCAGGCGCGCTTCTGCGGCCGTCTGGAACGCTCTTCCTTCCGATGTGAGGACGCCACTGGAGCTCGGCACTTTTAAACCTCGAGTGAAAACTCATTTGCTTTAGAACTGAATCTCGTGTTTGGTTTGTTTGTCCTTCGCCCGCCCCTCCGTTAGCACGGTTGGCTAGTGTACGGCGCCAAAGAAGTTCAACAGACTCCGTGAGTGGTAAAGTTGGTCACCTGCATTGCGAGACCGCCCCCATTCGCTGACTGTTATTGGCGCGGTCAGCGGTGCTTTGTTGTCGAACGTAAACACTCGGTCGCGTCATGGAAACGTGGAGACGGGACAGACCGTGGCGTGGCCAGGACATGGCAGGACGTGCTTAGATGTTTTTGTAAATCCATCTGTGCGGAGTTTTGAGCGTTACACACGCGTGGGTTTCCTTCCCACGTGAAGCTAAACGCTCATGAATGGAAGTGGCCAAACATCCCAATGCGGGGCCCTCCCGAGCGAGGCCGGATAAACAAAGACGTTCAGTATTAACATTATAGTACTGCGTTGTTACTGGGGTTAGCCGTGACTCACTGCGCTCAGGGCACAGCAGCTTGAGTTTGATTCCCAGCGAAGGCTTCAACAGCAGCAGCGACTGATATAATAAGCCAGGCGCCTTCTTCCACAGCCCGCTCTGACCAGCTGGGGCCGTCCATAAATGACGTCACGCGATTTTGGACGATTTTGAACCCCCCCCCCCCCATCGTCACACGGTGTCACAAAAAGTCAGACCCCCCCCCTCAAATATGACGTCACAAAGCTCTGCCCTTCCCCCCCCCAAAATAAAACATGCTTCAAATCGCTTTAACTATTGTCATTGTAGTGCGTGTTTAATGTGGCGCTGCACTCTGATGTTGTAGGAGAAAACATTCATTAAAACGTATATTTAATTAAGTTGAACGATTTGTCTATATTTATTTAAAGTTGCGCATATTGATGTGACATTTCTCAAACCGCCCCCCCCTCGTCACACACCGTCACAAATATCTGACCCCCCCCCCCCTCCTAGGTGCGTGACGTCATTTATGGACGGCCCCAATGGAGACGAGGACTGCCAGTTATTGGCCTGTCCCAGGAGATCTCAGCCGAAGCTTTGGGAGACCTCGTCCCTAGCAACGCGCGCAGCGCCTCGATGGGAATGCCTCTTCGTGGTGAGGGCGGCGGAGGGAGCGGTTCTTGTGGTCTTCGTTGTTGTTGTTGGAATCACTAAATCCTGCTGCAGCCGTTGGCGTGGGAGGGCACGGGGAGGGAGGAGAGGCCGGACTCACATTGCCAGTGGTGTCCTGGGGTGAAGGAGTGAACCCATGTCCGCTATACAGAGAGGGAGCGTGCGAATACAACAGCCGACAAAGGCGGTGGGGGTGTGGGGGGGGGGTGGGGTTGTGTCGGGGGTGTGGGGTGGTGTGGGGGTGGTGTAGGTGTGGGGGAGTGGGGGTATGGGTGGGTGTGGAGGGTGGTGGAATGGGGTGGTGTGAGGGGTGTGGGGTGTGGGGGTGTGGGGTGTGGGGGGTGGTGGTGTGGGGTGATGTAGGTGGTGGGGTGGAGGTGTTGGGTGGAGGTGTGGGGGTGTGTGGGGGAGTGGGGTGGTGTGGGGTGGTGCTCTTTATCGTGACTTGACGCCCCCGGGGTGAGTCGTCTTTACTCGCCTGTTTGCTCGGCGAGGTGGACAAACAGCCCCGGTCATTGTGGCCCCCCCGTCTCGTCGGCGTGCGAGGCCGCGCGTTCCCTTAGAGACCTGCACACTTTTTATTGCCGACTCGCCTCTCACTCGCGCCGCCGCTCCGCTTTTATTTCGCCGTTGAATTTACGGGGAAGGGGTGGGAGAGGGGGTGGGGGGATTGGGTGGGGGGCTTTTTTTAGCTTTTTCCTCGTCCCTGCCAGTTCCGTGGGCTCTTTTCCGTTTGTTCAACAGACGCCGCCGTGAAATGTGCTAATGTCCACAGTCAGGCGAAACGTCCGTCGGGAAAGCGCCCGATCCTCGTTCGAGTTGTGGAAGCTAAGTAGGCGAGTGGGAGCAGGGGGAGTGGGAGCAGGTGTGTGGGAGTAGGTGTGTGGGAGCAGGTGAGTGGGAGCAGGTGGGTGGGAGCAGGTGAGTGGGAGCAGGTGGGTGGGAGTAGGTGGGTAGGAGCAGGTGAGTGGGAGCAGGTGAGTGGGAGCAGGTGGGTGGGAGCAGGTGGGTGGGAGCAGGTGAGTGGGAGCAGGTGAGTGGGAGCAGGTGGGTGGGAGCAGGTGAGTGGGAGCAGGTGAGTGGGAGCAGGTAGGTTGGAGCAGGTGTGTGGGAGCAGGTGAGTGGGAGCAGGTGGGTGGGAGCAGGTGTGTGGGAGTAGGTGGGTGGGAGCGGGTGAGTGGGAGCGGGTGGGTGGGAGCGGGTGGGTGGGAGCGGCTGAGTGGGAGCGGGTGAGTGGGAGCGGGTGAGTGGGAGCGGGTGAGTGGGAGCGGGTGAGTGGGAGCGGGTGAGTGGGAGCAGGTGAGTGGGAGCAGGAGCAGGTTCCCCGAGAAACGATCAGCTGCTTGGGCGTCCCGGGGGGACTCGTGATGAGATGAGGAAGTGGCCGGGAGAAGGGGGCGAGATCGAGTCCCCATCCACGTGGGGGGGGGGTTCACATGCTGCTGGCGAGCTCCTATTAATACCGGAACGAAGCCCCGTGGAGCTGCGTAGTAAACAACGCGCCACGCAGCCACGGTCTCCCCGACGCCGATGTTTTACACGCCGCAAACCCGCTGCTTGTTTAAGGCGCAGTCGACGTAGGGGAGGCGCTGGAGAGATTTGTCAAGATACCACTCGCGCCCGAACTCAGGCTGGCTAAGTTCGCGGTGCAGTGCGCTAGCCACTATGCCACCGCTCCCAAGATACGCATACACACATCAGTCTCGTGCAGAGCACGAGATTCGTTATCTCCCGACTGCAACCACCGATAACACGTGGTTTGACACCACACCAAATACGTTCGACACTTCACGCGAGGCCACGTTGAAGTGTCGAAGGCTCGCTGACCGGAGGGTCACGGGACAGACCCAGGTGTCATAGGTTGACTGACCAAAATGACAGATGCATCACCTGCGCTCCTTCCTGTGCCGACCGTCCCCATCGCCACAATAATCATCGTCATGAGGTCACCTGCCCGATGCGTAAAGCCACTGTAGCCCACGCTCCTTCAACGGAGGAGGATGAATCGCAAAACGACACGAACTCTCCATCGGCCGAAGCCCTCTCGTGACCAGCAGACCTTCGCATTGGCGCTCACCTCCTGAACGCATCGCTGCTGCCAGCACACGCGCGGGCACCGAATGATCGCTTTCTCCCGATGCCGCCCACCGCTCGCTGTTCGCCGCGGCGCTCCACTCACATTTGAGGGCCGAGAAGGCGAGCGCGTAGCTCCGGCGCCGCGCTCCCGAATCCCCGTGGAGCAGAGCCAGCCCCGGCTCCCCGAGTCGCCGCCTCTCGCCGTACCGCAGCACGGCCCGGTCCGCGGGGCTGTCCGCTCTCAGGTGGCCAAACAGCGCAGCGGCGGCCGCGAATTCGCGCTCCGGCCCTCCCGCGCGATGTCCCAGCGCCTCCGTCGTTGCCTCCTCCTCCTTCTTCTGCCCCGAAGCTTCGCACGTCGCTACTGCTCTACCTGGCCGTGCCATCGCCATGTGGCGGGGGGGGGGGGCTGCTGGCTCCAGGCGTAATTAAGGGACGGTGCCCTTAGGTGGTGGTGGTGGCCTCTGCTTCTTACTCCTCTCCCCGTGGAGGAGACGCAGGGAGGTTAGAAACCGCGGCGTGGGTGCGCGTGCGTCCCGGCCACGCAGCCCCCACCCCCCTCGTGCTCTCGTGCCCTCCTTAACAATAAGAGCTCGCTCGCGGTACTTTACCCCACAGCCTTGTGTTAGGCTACGCTATGTGGTGGTTGCTAGCGGTTGGGGAGGTGATCTTTGCGTGCGTGCGCAAAAGAGTGCGCCGTGTACTCGAGAGGGGCTTCCTGATGGGTCGGTGGCTGGGTGGATGGTGGGTGCTGAGTGAGCGTGGTGGGGTGGGTGGCTCTCTGTGTCTTCAGAAGGCTCGCCTCTTGCGGCTGCCGCCGCTTGCGTAACCGCGCCTGGAGACCCAATCGTAGCCCTCCGCGAACCTCCTCCAACAACAACGAAAGACATCGACCCACCGCCTCTTATTGCTTCATTGTGAGTGGCGCGCGAGAAGAGGTGTGGGGGGAGGGAGCCGGGGAGAGAGCCGTGGTAGTCAGAGCAGCAGCCAACGTGCCCACGTGTTTCGAGCGCACCGTGGAGCAACGTTAGCAGTGGAGAGAGCTTGGCGAGTGATTACTTTCGTCAACCCGCGCTGACCAGCACGGTGAAATGTGGCCGAACAACCCGAACCAACATCCCTTGGGGAGACCATCCAGCAGATGCATTGCAAACAATATTTAATATTTGTTTTCTGAAAAGACATTATTGAATAAAGATGTACCAAATCTTGACTTCAAGCTTTCGCGACTGCAGGAATTTATATTATTTGGGTCTTTCGGTAAAGCCAGGTAGATATCTATAATGATATAAAGATGTACTATATATAATATGCGTGTGCTGACTAGGTTTAGTTCAGTAAGTGCTGGTGGCAAGTTCATAACTACCGTAGTTGTAATTCCTACCTGTTCACTGTGAGTGTGTGCGCGCGCTTGCTGTTCACTTTAATAAAGATGTTTCAGAGCTTATTCTTACATCGCTTCAGCCAAATATTCCCTGGCATGAGTTCGTCTTATCTCCACTTACCAGGCTCCCAATTCGTGTGTTTGTATCTATCCGAATAAGCGCCGTTTATTCCAATAAAAGCTACTTGGAAAATCAATGACGGATACAAAAAAAAGCGAACAGGATAACCTCGTAGCTGCCGTTGATACGCTTTTAATAAGTCCCTTTAGAACGCAGCGGATGCGTTTTGTGAGACGAGGCTACACCTGACGGATTCCAAATCAGTTACAATCACCGTGCTCCGTGCTGCTGCTGCTTTAAACACCGAGGTGTAAATCACAGCACACGACACCTTCTGATCCCGTGGCCCTACTAGCCATGTGTGCAAAAGAGCTTTCTAGCTTATCGGATTCCTCCAGTATAAATACATATTCTGATTTAGTATGTGTACCGTACACGCATAATCCCTTGTCAATCCACTGCTGGATGAGTGCTTCCCCACGCAGTTGCGGGTCGTGGGGGATATTTCACCATACTTCGCCACCCTGGTCGATGCGGGAGGGTGAATGCGGGCAGTAAAGACACGGGGGGGGGGGGGGCATGGAGGAACAGTACAACAATTGGGTTGTACTGCACCGAGCTCTGTTGCTTATCACCGCGGTCTGTGTAAGCGGGGGCTCATCCAAGGGTTATCCAGGCTCGAGCCGGCTTAGCTTCGGAGATCTGACGAGATCGGGCGCACTCCGAGTGATATCGTCACAAGGAGTAACTTGTGGAGAGAGAGGACGAGAACGATTCGGAGGCGCGAGGAGGAACCACCGCAGACGACCGGGAAGGAAGCGGCAGCAGCAAGCAGCAGCCACGCGGCGAGCCGGCGCCACATCAATTTCCCCCGTTCTGCGCTCCTCGGTAAAGTCACGTAGGTAAAAATAAATAATAAAAATAATAGAAAAATAATATAATAAATCACGACGTTTCGGAGGCAACACAAGTCTCCGTCATCAGGTGGGACCGTCACAGCTGAATTTACTGTTTCACTTAATACAGTAAATTCAGCTTCACTTAAATACAGTAAATTCAGCTGTGACGGTCCCACCTGATGACGGAGACTTGTGTTGCCTCCGAAACGTCGTGATTTATTATTTTATTAATATTATTTTATCGATTCTTTTTATTATTTATTATTTATTTTTTACCTACGTGCCTTTACCGAAAAAACCCAAGAGTATGAATCCTTGCAGTCACGAAAGCTTCAAATCTAGAAATATTCAGATGTGTTCAGTCAATTTCTGAGCATTTTAGATGCGGGAGGTGAGAGTAGTGCACTAGAAGAAAACACACCGCGCGAACGAGCAAGACGATCCCACTTGCTGTACCGCCTTCTCCTGGCGACTCGGGGTATGGCGCCTCACCGACACCCACGGAACAAGAGGTCTCACGGCGCTTGCGTGATCCACCATAGCGACGTGGCCCCCGGTTGTGTGCGCCCCCCGGTACCCTCTGCCCAACCTCCGGCCTCCTCTTCCCACGCGCGAGCGATGACGTCTCGGGAACTGTCAGGAGGGTTGGTCACAGGGGCTGCATCGGCAAATAAGTCGCTCCCAAGCCCCATGGGTGGCATCTTCCCCCAACTCAGCCCCGCGAATTCCTCTTGTGAGCTCTTGGCGGGTGATTGCGAATCTTTAATGCGCATTTTACGCACAGCGTGGCCCCGCCACGCCGCTTGTGGCTCAAATGGGGGGGGCATCAAGGGGGTCGACTTGTTGGCGCCTATTGTCACGAGAGCCGGCCTCGATAGCCGGAGGTCAACGTGGAATTTCCATCAGCCGTGGTCGATCCACTGCTAGATGAAAGGCCTTCCTCGTCTCTCGCGACCCCGCCATGGAGTGATGAACCGAGGCATCTGCTGCACACGAGAGAGCATCCCATCGCGCCGTCTCCTCGGCGCGCGGCCCTATGAGACGCCTTCCACTCCTGGGCTGCCACTCCGCAATTGATTCTTGACCATTGGCCGTCGTCCCGAATAGACGCCGTGACGCGTAGGGCCCGAGCAGCCGACTGGCTTTTCTCCACAAGTTTGAATTATGCAATGATATGCTGGTTTTCGTAATCTTCGCAGTCCACAGGAAAATTCAGGATGTCGTCGTTTCACCCACAGAGCGAACCCCCCAGGGTGTGTACTGCTGATTCACACTCGCCGATTAATGCCTCTCAATATAAACGCGCGCGTTCGTGTTCACGGATTGTGCCACGCATTGTCACGGGATCATAAGGAAGCAAGCTCGATGTTAACCTGACACCGCTGTGCGTGTATGTACAGAAAATGTGAAAATTAAGGCAAGTTAATAAAACCAGTTTCGCTGTTGTCACAACTCTGCTGGGTAGTTGGGACGCTCAATTCAGGATTAGGTGGGGGGAGGGTGGTCAGGTCAAAATGGAACGGTCCACACCACGATCACCTACAAAGGCATTCACAAGCCGGTGCTGCGTCATGACTTGGGCGGCCGAGGAACACATTTCCGATCGGGGTCGCCTCGGCTGAACGACCGCAGGGCACGAGGGGCGGCCCTGAGACGCCGAGTCATTGAAGCGAGCGCGAGATAAAATGCTCATTGGTATCCTGACGTTTCCAGCGGCGATTTGCGTGAAATGTATTTGCATGTGCAACGGTGAGTCGGGATTTCCATGTATAAAGAATGACGTGTGTGTGTGTGAAACACGGGCCGTGCGATGAGAGGCTAGGGCTTGATATGTCCGCGTTTTAACACAGCGTGCTGCTTGGCGATAATAACTACGCTCTTTCACCATTGGAACCTCCTTTGCAGGAAGTAGCAAAATATGATAATTGATTTTTTACCCTTTAATCTGGTAACAAAACTGACACCTTTTTTTAACAACGCTCTTTATTTAGCAAGTAGCCAAGTAATGGCAGTGCAGTGCAGGTTTCCCTCGCTTTGCGCGGGTTCGGTTTGTGCAATGTCGCGCTGTATATATGCGGCTCAACTATTACTACACAAAATTCGCAATGTGCGGTTTGGATTCAATCATATGCGGCTACACGGTAGGACAGCGTTGCATGTTCTGTGTGCACGGCTCGGCAGGCAGCTGTCCCCTCGTGCAGTTTCGCTTTGTGCGCTATTTTTGTGGAACGCATCTACTACTACGACTACTACCACCGCATACACCGAGGGAACTCTATTCTTCAATCTACCAGAGCAGAACTTTGATCATTACCTCTCTCGGGTACTCCGTTTATCTTCCCACATGCCACAAACAGTCTCCCATGCTGGAATTGGCCAGGTGTAGCTCTGTAGCAGGACCATCACTCTCTCTCTCTTCAAATGATGAACAAAGTTCAATAAAATAAACATACGATTTCTGTATTATTATTATTGCACTCTTGAGTCTGCGTTAACGCTCAATGTTAGATGTTGCTTTGTCTCCGTTGCCTTATCGAACGTTACAGGAACGTTCAACTAACACCAGTGGAGCCTCCAGCTAACAGCAGCCTCGGTGGGCCGAGGGAGCTGAGCTATTCTGTGAGTGTCTCAAGATGCTGGAGGGCTCCGCGACTCCCCGCGACGCCAGGTGGCACTGTGGTCCAAGCTGCTGTGGGTCCGCGGGGAGCGACGACATCGAGAATTGGCAGTCTCACGCACACAAGCCGTTCCATTTGGCGTTTTCTGTTTGCGCATAGTCACTTTAAGATGTTTTCTTGTTCTTGTTTTTTAGTTTTTTTGCGGTTGCACCCGATTCAAGAGCCGAATGGCTCGCAGGGATATACCAAATAAATGAAAAGAACTGAAAAGGAGTGGATATCTTTTCAAACGAAAACTCTTGAACGCACTGTGGACCAATTGCATGTAAAACGAAACAAGTCCTAATTGTTACCCATGTATATCGTTTGCGCATATGCATTGTGAGGATACGGGTTAGGAGACGGGCATATGCACATTCGCTGTGATTCTGTACAATAGGCATGCAAACGATACATCATAACAGGTTGCCCTCGCTTTATACGGGGTTGGTTTGTGCGATTTTGCGTATATGCGGCTAACCTATAGTTCTGTCCACAATTCATTAGACTATGCGGTTTGATTTCACTCAGATGCGGATATGCGGTCAGACGTGGGACAACATTGTCTGTGTGTACTTTGTGTACTCTGTGTAGTGTGTATACCGTGTGTGTACTGTGTGTATACCGTGTGTGTACTGTGGGTGTGTGTAGTGTGTGTACTGTGTGTATACTGTGTGTACTGTGTGTGTACTGTGTGTGTACTGTGTGTACTCTGTGTGTGTACTGTGTGTGTACCATGTGTGTACTGTGTTGTACTGTGTGTGTGTACTGTGTGTGCACTGTGTGTACTGTGTACTGTGTGTGTGCACTCTGTGT